GACATCGGCCGCCCGAAGTATCACGAACAATACTTGTTGCGGCCGGCGTCTTCGAAGTCGGCCGAGATTAACTCTTATATCATGAAGAATACTTCTAATAGATAGCATATTATGCATAACCAAGTCTACCATACTTGAAATGTATGGAAGAAATAATCTCGACCAACCTAAGTATTGTTCGCCATATAAGAAGTAATCTCGGCCGACTTCGAAGACGTCGGCCGCCCAAGTATTATGAACAATATTTAGGGCGGCCGACATCTTCGAAGTCGGCCGAGATTATTTCTTCCATAAATTTCAATCAGACCAAGAGAAATAATGTCTTGAAATTTATGGAAGAACTAATCTCGGCCGATTTCGAAGACATCGGCCGCCCGAAGTATCACGAACAATATTTGTTGCGGCCGACGTCTTCGAAGTATTGTTTTTGTCACCAATAACAATACAATACAATAAGTCTACCATGTTTGAAATTTATGGAAAAAAAATTCATGATGCTTGAAAATATGAAAATTAGATAAATGCGTTTTCCATATATGATTTTGATGGATATCCATTATTGTTAAGTTGAAATTGTAGTTATTCAAGCGGATAAAGTTCAATAAAATCCCTTTGAGTTACTTTGCAATTTCGTTCAAGAATTTTTCAAATCGAAAAGTAGCAGCGGGTGGTAAAGGTGACATTTCGCAATCTTTTCTATGCGAACAATACGCAGTCGTTGCATTGTCACATTGCATCGATCAGATATTTTCATGCATTGACGAATATATTCGTTGATAGCATCACCCACACCTTGTGATATACACTTCGCCAATTGCGAATAAGAAATAACGTGTTTACGAAAAGTAACACATCTATGGATTTGAAACTTATATAATTTAATCCATTTTTTGTATGCAAAAAATTTATTAAATTTATGTTAATTGTGGTGTAAAATAAATTAAGCAATCTGTAATTTTTTTGGTAGTTATTTTAGTTTGTGCAAATCACACGAATACAAGAAGAGTACTTCTAGATGCACACAATTTGAATATGATGGAAAAACGTGAATACGTTTTTTTCAATTTCGCTTTATATAACGAGTATTAATAAATTATCTTTTATTAATAAAATTTTTTAATAAATTTCATTTTAGCGCTGAAGATCCTTCTAGACCTTGGTATAGTTCAAATGATACTCATGAAAATAATGAGCGTGTGCAGACAAGTTATAGATCTGTTTTTACTTTTACTCCTTATAATGAAGCGATTCCCGAAGTTGGTTTAGAAAGAAGAGGTTCCTATTTATTAGATGGGATGTATAATGGACTGTTTATGTTTGCGCATAGTTTGAATCATACGTTAAATGATAAAATTATTTCGACTTCTGATAAAAAGTTTATTCGTGGAAATGAGATCGTTAGTAATATGAGAGGAAAAGTTTTTAAAGGTGTACGAGACGAGGAGGTTGAAATTAATTGTAACGCTCAACGAATCGGGAAATATGCCATGTTGCAATATGATTCGTCCGGAACTCCTGACATTGTAGCTGAATATTTTACTGGTAAAAGCGTAACTTTTTTAAAAAATATTGATTGGCCCACGGGAAGCGTACCTTTAGAAACACCGACGTGTGGATATGACAATTCAAAATGTCCAAGTAAAATAAATGTTTGGTTAATTGTAATTTGTATATTTCTTGGAATTGCATTGTTAATATTTACGTATTATTTATATAGACATTATAAACTTGAAAGTGAATTGGCTCTGATGTCATGGAAAGTAGCGTGGGCTGAAATATTTTTTTATCCGGTCACAAAAAACCGTTCCAGTTTATATTCAATGGGATCACTAAATAAATACGGCAGTGAAAAAAGTTTTGATCATGATGGTTTCAGTTTAGCAGGAGATATTCAAATGTACACAAACATCGCTTTATATAAAGGGCAAAGAGTTGCAATTAAACGAATAAGAGATGTTAAAATAGAATTAAATCGATCACAATTATTACATTTAAAATGCATGAAAGATTTATCTCATAATCACATCGTAAAATTTTACGGCCTTTGTTTGGAATCGCCAAGTCCATGCGTTTTAACCGAATATTGTTTAAGAGGAAGTTTACAAGACATTTTAGAAGACGAAAAAGTTAAATTAGACATGGTGTTTCGCATGTCATTAATACACGATATCGTAAAAGGAATGTTGTACTTACATCAAAGCGATATAAAGATTCACGGATCATTAAAATCGCCAAACTGCGTTGTTGACAGTCGATTTGTTCTAAAAATCACCGACTTTGGTTTACATTTTTTATCAAAATGCAACGATGGGTCTATTGATGAAGAAAGCCATTCGTTTTGGCAACGACAACTTTGGACAGCACCCGAGTTATTAAGATCTAATAGTCCGGGTACACAAAAAGGCGATGTTTATTCATTTGCAATTATTGTACATGAAATTTTAACAAGGGAAGGTGTTTTTTTTATTGGACATGATGTTTCTTTGTCACCGAAAGGTAAGGAAATTTATTTTTTATATTAATTTTATTTATTTTCTGTAAAAACTTTTTGAACTACTCTTACATGTCTTAATACATCACTCTATGAATACGATAGCACAAAATGTTCGTGGTTATCATTCTGGGAAGTTAGCCTATACAAGAAATGAGACTAACAAATTTTTAGACAAATTCAATTCAAATATCTCATTAAAATTTTTAAGGAAACGCTACTAATATTCAATTAAGTGTTGATTTCCAATTCACACCTCGAGAAGAAGTTGGAACATTATGCTTTAGACCAGGAGAAATGTTTGTGTTTCAAAGTTTAGTTTCTGGCTATTGTCACTGCTCATCTCCTAATCCCTCTTCTTCCTTGCGTACAAAAATGATTGGCGTTTTCAAGATGTTGACATTTTATCATTATTTATCATTCCCAAGCGTTCTGGGAAGTTAGCCTATACAAGAAATGAGACTAACAAATTTTTAGACAAATTCAATTCAAATATCTCATTAAAATATTTAGAGAAACGCTATTAGTATTTAATTAAGAGTTGATTTCCATACGATTACTCCCGAGATTCCAATTATTCGTGTTTTAACGAGATCTAACAAATTGAATAGCAATTTCCGCCTTTAAATCGATTTTTCAAGTGGAAGGGTGGGGGATTGCCGGAATATCTGAGTTAATCTAAAGCTCCGGGATTTAATCTTGGGTCGAAAAAACGACTAAAACGTCGTGATTTGACGTGAGGGGGTGTAAAAAGATGACGGGAGCCGCAAGAAAGTAAGCGTGTACCGTTTTCCTTCGGAGAGGAGATCGGCGCAGGGCCATCGATTTCCCCCCTGAAAAGCGTACAGAGACTTTCAGGTTGATTTTCAGTCAGTCGGCGTTTTGAGGTCATGAGAGGACCACGTTGAGTTCTATCGTGATCGTGTTTCGACGTGTTCTGTAATAAAAAGAAGTAGGTGATGACCACCAGTGCAATGTCTCTTGCACTACCTGGGAATTCGTCACCTGGCAGAGAAGTCGGCACCTCCACCAGCCCCAGAAGGGCTGTTAGTCCTCTTCTGGAGGTCAGAAGGCCGCACTGCACCCTCAATTGCGACCACTGCAATGCTATACTTGAGGATCGCTTTAAACATTTAAGTAACGAAATATTTATAATCAAAAAAAAGAATATTATCTGAAAAAATATAATCTTATAGTTTAAATAATTTTTTATTGATCAAAGTTTTGACATTAAATCGACGTAACATTAAAAATTTGAATGACTTGATCGTAAAATCGAACTTTTCCGCGAGAAAATCTTCCACCTCCGTTAAAGTCATAAAATCATAAAAGATTAATCCGAAACCCTTTAAAATACCCTCTTAGAAAACACCTTTTTTATAGGAAACTTTTAAAGTATCGGTTTTAATGAGGAACAATAAAACTATAAACTTTAAGCTGATTTTAATTTTTATATTTTCTCGATATTTAATTTCAGAAATAGTAGAAGCTGTAAAAAATGGTGTTGAAGGTTCGTCTCAACCTTTAAGGCCTATGATACTTGATAACACATGCGATGAAGAAGTAGCAAAATTAATGAGAAAATGTTGGGCTGAAGATTCAGCTGATAGACCAGATTTCACAGCATTAAAAAATATCGTACGCAAATTAAACAAGTAAGGAAGTTGCAAATTTCTCATTTTCACCGTTTCTCATTGCCATTTTTTCTTTATTTCTTCGTTAAAGAGATTATGACAATGGAAGCATCTTAGATAATCTTTTATCACGTATGGAACAATACGCAAACAATCTGGAGACTTTAGTTGAAGAAAGAACGGCTGATTACTTAGAAGAAAAGCGGAGATGCGAAGAATTACTTTATCAGTTATTACCAAAAACGATAGCTATGGAACTTTTAACGGGGAAGAATCTTATAGCGGAGATCTTTGATGAAGTCACCATTTATTTCAGTGACATCGTTGGTTTTACGGTACTTTCCGCCTCGAGTACACCTCTCGAAGTCGTGAATTTACTCAACGATTTGTACACGTGCTTTGATTGTATCATCGAAAACTTTGACGTCTACAAAGTAAGTTAATCAAATTTGGGGTGATTTTATTAAATTTATTTCTTGGCAAAATAACCCCAGATAAAAAATGTCAATATCTTATTTAATCTTATTATGTAGATAAGTTTCTAAATATAAAACTCCCTTTTAAAATTAAACGTTTCCAGTAAACACGCAATTTCTTTTTAGGTTGAAACTATAGGGGACGCATACATGGTTGTGTCCGGCTTACCAGATCGAAACGGAAAAATGCACGCCGCTGAAATAGCCAGAATGTCATTACAACTTTTAAAAGCCGTCAAATCATTCACCATCAAACATCGACCAGACGAACCATTAAAACTTCGAATCGGAATGCATACAGGACCTTGCGTGGCCGGGGTTGTTGGTCTCAAAATGCCCCGATATTGTCTATTTGGGGACACCGTCAATACAGCATCTAGAATGGAATCTAATGGACTCCCATTTAGAATACATCTTAGTTCTGCCACTAAAAATGTTTTAGATACTTTTGGTACATTTAAATTAGAATGTCGGGGTGAAATTGATATTAAAGTAAGTCGATTTAATAAATTTTTTTTTATTATTATTATTTTTTTTTTAATTTAGGGTAAAGGTAAAATGACAACTTGGTGGCTTTGCGATGAAGAAATAAAAGCGGAAAATATAATAAAACCTGAATTAACAACAAGCGTGTCATCGGTTGTAACAACAAAATCGATTGATACGCAATCATCTGAAAATTCATTTGCGAGCAGTGTAAATTATTTGGCTGCGATGACTTCGAATCATTACTCGTCGTCTCATCCGGATAAAGGAGAAGAAGCGGGTATTCCTTTGTTATCGGTGACGTCGAATGAATAAAAAAATGAACCAAAAATTAAAAAAAAAAGCTTACTTTACACGTATCAAAACGCTTGACTGTTATATAGAGACGTAGAAAATAGTATAATAGAAAAGTTTCCTAGAAAATATTTTTTTTACGGTTTTCAAGGAAGCTGATAGACTATATACAAAGTGGACCATTTTTCTTAAATGTATTTTTACGAATTTTGTGTGTTATTTATTTTTTTTAACTGTGCCAAAGAAACATTTATTTTTTTTTGCATTCTCAAAGTAGTATCTACGTCGAAGAAAAGATTTGTGATTTTATTAAAAGTTTAATAGTGGAGAGTAAGCGTGCGCGTACCTGTTCGTTAAAAAAAATTAAACTTAGATACTATTTTGAATCGTTGTAATATAGCAAATAATATTTATTGTTAGTGTTTAAATTATTTAATAAATATTTATTTAATTGTTACTGATTAGTTAAAAATAACACAAAAAAACGATAAAAAAAATTTGTGCTCTCTTTCACCCAATTTCATGTGTTAGCTACAAATCCAATTATATCTTAAACTCAATGTCTAATAGAAATATAAAATTTGTGTAATTATAAAAAAAATTATTTTCAAATTTAAGTTTTTTTGTTGCACAACGATCTATGTCGTATATATATATATCCGCACATCTCATTGTTATTACTATTATTAGTTTTTTAAGTCTCAACGCTTATTTTATTCGCACAAGAATCCGACTTGTATATTTGTAATTTATAAAATTTTATTTAAACGTAATTGTATCAATAAAGGAATATAACAATTACCAAAACTACAAATACTTTTTTTTTTCTTACGAAAATTTAAAATTTTTAATTTCAAAATTAACTACTTCTGGTTTGGAGCAGATTTTGGACGAAACACAGAGTTAAGTTCTGTTACATCATGAATTGAATATAAGCAACCCGGGAATAAGATTACTGAAAGAATTCTGCTGAAGTGAATAATTAATTTGAATTCGCCAAATCCGCCATCTTGTCTCCTTAAGTTAAAATTAATAAAAAATCTACCAGCGTCCAACGAATCCTCCAAAGTGACGCATTAAAGTTATTAAATTAATTAATAAATTTTATTATAAGAAAATTGTATTTTACTTCCTTTCCAATAGATGTTACCACAAACTAATTTCTTTTAAAATAGGCAACCCAAATGACACAAAAATATCAGCTGTCTCATTTATCTATACACTGTTTTGTTTATCAAAACTACTGAATAATGTTTATAACGTCCAGATAATGAATCACGTTTAAAATATGAACTCGTTATTGAGAACAGTGCAAGGTAAAGAATTTGATAAAAATTACCGTATAAAGAAGGCCATAACCACACAACTGTCGGAGGTGGTGAAAGAGATACAATTATGTTCTGTGGAGGAGAATATCCTCAGTGATTCCTTGGATGTTGAAGAGGCGGCAAATTCCCTTTGTTGCGTTGTTGAGGCAATCTTTTTACATGGATTAAAAGATTCCTTGGCTCACAAGTTTAGAAAGGTTATTGCTGATGTTGATGATAGACCAGACTCTAGCTTTTGGGCTCCACTATTAGTTATATCACATAGACAAATTATAGATTCTGTACGTATATTAATTTAGTTAACTAATTTAATGAAGTAGGTGAAACATTTAATATAGGTCTAACTAGTTTCGGCCCTTAGCCATCTTCAGACACTCTATTATAATATTAACATTACTTCATTTTATCTATTTAACAAAAAAAATTTTTGAATTTCAATAATAAAAAAGTTAAATTCATAAAAATACAATACTATTAATTATTAAATTTATAAAATTAAAGCTTTAAATTGTTTACCCACTTCAAAATTAACAACTAGTAGAAAGGATTTATTTCAATTATAATTCTTTAAAAATTTTGTAATTAATTAATTATTTATTTCTAGATTTTAAAATGTACACAACTTCCAACAGAAGTAGGACAATGTAGAGCATGGATAAGATTAGCAATGAACGACTGCTTATTGTCTTCCTATTTTATGACATTAAGGCAAAATTCTGGTGTTTTAAAATCATATTATAATTCACATGCTTATGTGAGAGACAATGATTTATTAGAGGTTGCACAAAAATTAATCGAAGGTGTTGAAACAATAAAACCTTTCAATCTGCCATGTTTTTCTAGTATTTTAAATAATTGGCCTCAAAGTACATTAATATTAGCGGGAATTTGGTCTCCCACTTTAAGAACATGTCCCGTACAATCTTGCGTCGATGTTGCTCAGTCAACATCGAGCAATTTAAACTCAGAAACGGCATCTTTAGGTTCAATGATATCGTTACATTCGCGATCATCGGGAATTGGGAATATGGTAGCTTTTAATGAAGATGAAGCGTTTAAAATTGTTTTAAATAAACAACTTGGCCAAGAATCTTCGAATAATCAAGATGCTGAGGTTGATGTTACTACAATAGATAAAAATATTAAGAACGAAAATGACACTAACAATGATGAAAATAATCAACAGGAATTAATAGAAGATATTGAAATTGAAAATGAAATATTTCCCGAACCCGAGATACCTAAAGCAACAGTCGGGAACTCGTTATTTCGACAAACAGGTTGGTCATTTGATGAAAACGCCCAAGATAAAACGCCGCCAAAAAATGTACCAACAACGAGTAGTTTAGAACATAGTTACAATGCGTTGATTGAAAGCTATAATATGTTTGGTGCAGCTTATATTAAAACGCCTGATATTCGTGGTGTTTGGGAACACTTTGAAAAGAAAGGTTGCACAACTGCTGGGTTAGAAAAAAATAAAATCGATTCATCTCAAATGAACACCATCGAAAGCCCTGGTGAGGAAAAATTACGATTATTACACCAATTAACTGAGATGCCCGTCGAACAAGGATTAGATTATCAAAATTACGAATGCGCAAGTTGTAATGTTGCCTTAAGTATTGGTAAATTAAATACAGATTCAAATGTTGCTAAGTAATTAATAAAAAAATTGTTATATATTTATTTTAATTTAATTATTTATTTTTTTTAGTTTATGTCATTTCTCAGGAACGTATTATTGTAACAATTGTATGCATATCGATATGGTACCTATTCCAGCCCGTATGATTCATAATTGGGACCATCAAGAGTACAGGGTTTCACGTGATGCTTTTAATTATATTCAAGAAATTAAAGATCATCCTTATATTGATTTAAAGGTTTTTTTTACATATTTCAATTCTATTAAATTATTTTTATTTATGATCATTTTAAGACTATTAATCCATACATTTATGGAGTGATAGAGGAAATGTCTCGTCTTCAAGTTTTAAGAAACCAATTAAATTTTCTCCGCGCATATCTTTACACCTGTCGAGATCCAATAATTGAAGAATTCCAAAAAATGATGTGGCCCAGAGAATACATGTACGAACACGTTCATCAATATTCAGTATTGGATTTACAAGAAATTCCCGACGGAACCCTAGCCGGTAAATTACGCGAAGTTGTTGATTTTGCCAAAAAACACGTCATGGAATGCTGGTTGTGTAGCCATAAAGGATTTCTTTGCGAAATTTGCGATAGTACCAAGGTTTTGTTTCCGTTTGATGTGGAAAATGTTTATAGGGTAAATATATTTATTAAATATATTTATAATTAATTGTTTTTTTTACCATTTTTAGTGTGAAGGTTGCAGTGCTGTGTATCATAAGGGTTGTTTAGATGAAAGCAAACCTTGTCCGAAATGTAAAAGGCAAAGAGAAAGAGCTGATATGTCTTTACTTGCTATGACAGATGATTAATATTTTAAATAACTAATTCTGTTTTTTTTTGTTTGTTTTTTTTATAATGAAATAAAATATTTATGTAATAATGAGATGATTAGTTTTTTACCTTTGTTTATTTCATAGACGACGGCCGTCTTAAGTATTATTCGTTATATAAGAAACAATCTCGGCCGCAACAAGTATTGTTCGAGATTATTTTTGATATCACAAGAAATAATCTCGGCCGACTTTGAAGACGTCGGCCGCAACAAGTATTGTTGCTGATTCTTGGAGCGGCCGACTTCGAAGACGTCGGTCGCAAGAAGTATTGTTCGTGATTCTTGTTGTGGCCGACGTCTTCGAAGTCGGTCGAGATTATTTCTGATATTACAAGAAATAATCTCGGCCGACTACGAAGACGTCGGTCGCAACAAGTATTGTTTGTGGTTCTTGTTGCGGCCGACGTCTTCAAAGTCGGTCGAGATTATTTCTGATATTACAAGAAATAATCTCGGCCGACTACGAAGACGTCGGTCGCAACAAGTATTGTTTGTGATTCTTGGAGCGGCCGACGTCTTCGAAGTCGGCCGAGATTATTTCTCATAACCTGCTTGAAATTTAAGAAAGATATAATCTCGGCCGACTTCGAAGACGTCGGTCGCCTTAAATATTGCTCATGGTACTTGGGTTGGGTTCAAGCAGGGTAGACTTATTGTATTGTTCGTGATTCTTGTTGTGGCCGACGTCTTCGAAGTCGGCCGAGATTATTTCTGATATTACAAGAAATAATCTCGGCCGACTTCGAAGACGTCGGTCGCAACAAGTATTGTTCGAGATTATTTCTGATATTACAAGAAATAATCTCGGCCGACTTCGAAGACGTCGGTCGCAACAAGTATTGTTTGTGATTCTTGGAGCGGCCGACGTCTTCGAAGTCGGCCGAGATTATTTATTTCATACATTTCAAGCAGATTAAGAAATAATCTCGGCCGACTTCGAAGACGTCGGTCGCCTTAAATATTGCTCATGGTACTTGGGTTGGGTTCAAGCAGGGTAGACTTATTGTATTGTTCGTGATTCTTGTTGTGGCCGACGTCTTCGAAGTCGGCCGAGATTATTTCTGATATTACAAGAAATAATCTCGGCCGACTACGAAGACGTCGGTCGCAACAAGTATTGTTTGTGATTCTTGGAGCGGCCGACGTCTTCGAAGTCGGCCGAGATTATTTCTCATAACACTAGAAATAATCTCGGCCGACTTCGAAGACGTCGGCCGCCCTAAGTACTGTGATTATTACTGTTTGATGTTTATGAAAGAAATAATCTCTCAAGTATCATAAACAATACTTAGGTGGCTTTCCCATACCACATATTAATTTTTATTTAAGGTGCAAGTTTGTAATGTATATATATATATATAAAAGAAAAAAAAAACAATCCAGGGCACATATGCTACATTTATTTAACAATTCTCAGTATTATAACAGGAGAGTACATATTTAACATGCTTAACACACAATTGCTATATAATATTATGCTATATTATGCTATTTTACACCGTCGAGGAAATTATGCCATGCATTTCGCCGTTCGCAATAAACCTCCCGAATCGGGGTAATGAAAACGATAATATGTATGCTAATAATGATAATAATCACGTTTTGTTGAAACATTTCAATTTTAGTGTCAACGTTTTCAACGCGCTTTTATATTTTTTTGTGTATGTAGGGGGAAGGAAGAGGAAAATTTTTTTACCATCGCGAAGCTATTTACACATTACATTCTTCCACTTAAAAACTACGGAAAATATCAACAGCCTTCAATGCCAACATAAACGCCTCACAAACAACAACGTTTTTATTGTTTAATTATTATTAGTTTTTATATTAATTTTATAGGATAAGTTAGATTTTTTGCGTATGGAAATTTTGTTGTTGGTGCAGACCACGTTACGCTGACTAGAATTTGAATAATTAAAATAATATTTAAATAACAAAAAACGTATAAAATACTTAAAAAAATTATAATAAACGGAATGTCGGGATCGAGCATGAAACGCATTAAATATATTATTTAAGCTGCTCGTCTTCGAGAAGCTCCTGAATATCCCGATCCCAAGCTTCACCTTTCGTCGACGGTTTCTGCTCGGAGACCATCTCATAATCTTGCAGTTCAGCTTCCAATTCTTTTTCCCATTCTTCTTCTAAGAAAACGTGAGGATGTTTTAGGATTGAAAAAAAAATTAATATAAAAAAAGAAAAGAAAAAAAGATTAATAATTTAAGAAGATGCTCCTTTTCGTATTAGTTAGTTTCCTGTTTACCTCGAGCACCTTCATTTCTTTCATTTCCGATCTTTTATTTTATAAAATTTGCGTATGACTACACCATTATTTATTTAATTTATCCCTCGATACGTCTTACGATACCACACACATATAGAGATGATTAAAAAAGATACATTTATTTTTATATCTATGTAGTTCCACTTTTTTTTCTTGTTTTATATTTAAAATTGTATTACGTTAATTATATTTTCGTACCAACCGATATTGTCATATTTGCATATATCGCCTCTATCTTTGTAAGTTATTTAATATGTAAGATTATTTTTATTACGCTTTATTTAAGAATTAATTTAATTTTATTCCGTTTCACCCGTCAAATAATTCGAAATTCATTTCAATCATTAGTTTTGTTTCAGCGCATCCCAAATCGTTTCTTTAGTTGCTAGAAAACCCCATAGTTAATAGCAACACAGTTTTTTTTAGACGATGAAAAATATTTCTTCCTATTTATACTTTAATATAATACGACTTTTTTATATTTATTTATATATAGACATATATTTATAAGAGCAATTTTTTTTGTAATCATTACCGTAGCTTTTAGTACCATTTGAAATTGAGATCACTTTTCAATCATATCTTTCACGTTAATTATAATTAATACTGATTTTGTTAACTTACGTTGTTTACAAGAAATTGATGTATCAAAAAATAGAAACAAAAATCATAATTTTAAATAAATAGAAAAAATTAATAATACAAAGACGGGATTTTTGGGATTTGGAATGTTGCTTAAAAACCCTCCTTTCTTTCTTTCTCTCTCTCTCTCTCAGTTAACGGGGGTGTCAGATTACCTCTTCTTTTAAGCTGTGGTTCAAAAAAACAGGAAACCAACAATACGGTATTTATTACAATAAATAAGTAATATTTCAACTACGCAAATTAATAAATAAATAAATAAAAGGATCAAGCATTTCTTACCTGTAGCCTTCGAATTCATAGTTAACTTTCTCATTTGTTCCTGAACCTCAACAATGTCCTGTGAGGTAACCTTTAAGCTATCGGAAACAAATTCATGCGGCTCGATTTCTTTAACATCTTTATCTACAGGTTTTAATTAAAATTAAAAAAATAATAATGAAACGTAAGAAAAGAAGCGAAACTGAATTTCGTTTTTCATGCAAAATTAAACGAAGATTTAGCTCACCTAAAGGTTGATCGGAAGTTAATTGACTATCGACATCACGAGACATATGAGAAGCATCATTTGCCTGGCAGAGAAGAGTCACTCTATAAAAGTAGTTCCTCCAGAAATTCTCTTCGCTTATACTAAACATTAAAAAAAATAATTAAGGCATAAACTAAAAATGAATGTATACTTTTTAGGGACGAGATCATAACGCATCTTTTCTAGATTTGGATCTTGCTCCATAATGGCCATGGCGATAGGATAAGACACTTCGTAATCGAACGTAAAATCAACACCAGCCGGTGGACTACGAACGAAATTTCGACGATCCGTGGATAACGTAAGACATTCCTCTTTCAATGCCAACTCATTCGGACATCCAGCCCATGGTGGAAGTGCGCTTGAACTTGCATTACCCGATTGACTCTTCATAAACGCTTCTTGTTCTTTGTTAAACTCACCCAAAATACTCTTTAAAAAATAAGTTATATACAGAGTTGGAAATGATATAGCATAAAGAACTAAAACGCATTTTTTAGGTGATGGGAAAAAGCTTGTTGGATCAAAGCCAGCAATTGAGAACCAGCTTGAAGCATGCAAAGTTAATAAAATTATTATTATCTTACATTTTCTTCGACAGTTTTCTTAATTTTAGCACTGGCTTCACTAACTGTTTTTCCAGCCTTGTTAACAGCACTATAAATGAAACTTCCAAATGATTTAGCTCCAGCTATAGCTTTACTTTGAACTGCTTAAAACATGAAGTTAGTATCTTTGTGTTATAAAAGGAGTAATTATTTACCATTTCCAAACTGACCCTCTTTTTCCTCAGTTGGTGATTCCGCTGCGGATTGCGGCCCAGAATCGGCCCCTCCAGTAGCGCTGAAACATTCCCTACAAAATCGAGAGTACTGGCTCATTGCGTTAAACGCTTACCTGGAATTGTCGTCGTCGTCGCCGCCGCGTTCCTTCGTCTGTGATGGACCTTTTGGGCCGTCTGCTGTTGCGGGTGGTCCAGCGTCTTCGCCCAAGGGTTGTTCTTCTTGGTGGTCACCATCTTCGTTCTTACGCAACTTTGGAATGCTGGAACCTAACCACCCCCCAATTCCTCCAATTTGACTTTTTACGTTTGAAAGCATATCCAGTTTACTATGCTTTGTTGGACTAATATAGGAAATAGGTTATGTCAAAAAAATTGATTAATACACTTACATCTTTTTAACCAAAAAGAAAAGTTAATATAATTTAATTCAAAATCAATAAAACGTAAGGTCATGATCAAGTGGTGATTTTGCGGAAATAAAAAGAAATCATTTTTATATTGCACCATATTACCTTGTATCTTTCTTTTCAGGAGTAGTAGCAACTTCTCCTGTAGGTGTTGGAACCTTTTCTTCAGCATCAGCCTTTCCCATCCATGAGCTGACCTGATTTGTAAGTCCGGAGAACATCGTGCCGTGGAAAATGTTAGGGTGAAAATCGAATGCTTAAAAGGGAAACAGAAACGAAATTCTGTGCAAGATTGTTCGGATTGGGATTTAAAAACGATTCTATACGATCATATTTGGATTTGGAGTAGAGTAAAACAGTCCTTTTGCGGTAAAAATCGTCCGAACACTACCCTCACAAGGACAACCTCGATGCGGGACTCGAGTCTTGTGCGCAAATCGAAACTCCAAACTGCCTGGTTCGCTCGAAACTACATTCCGTTGAGATTTCCCGAATATTTTACGGATTTTCCCTAAAAATTCTCCTCTTTTCAACGATTATTCCCGTCCCGATGCCCGCCCTTCGAAAAGCAACACGTCGATAATATTCCAGTTTGTTCCAATCGTTTATCTCCTTTTTTCTAAACGAAACACCACAAAGAGTTGCGCATTGAATACAGTATTGATCCGTATAATGAATTTTTACACTATTCCGTGTTCCATTTCAAAAAATACTTGAAATAACTTTTTTTATACGCATTTACATTTACAAACAACATTCAAAACAACAATTTATTATAACTTATTTGTTTTTACTTGAATTTTTATATTTCTAATGATAACAATTAAATTAAAAAATAACAATAACAAGTCATTTAATCAAGTATAAACAAAATTCGTGTTATTATCAATAACACATTGATACTTATCTATTAATTTAAAATTTAATTTAATTATATATTTATTAATTTAAAAAAATGTGTATTTATGCATAAAGCTCAATATTCATTTAATTTCATACAAGAGGGATTTTCAATTATCCAATGTTAATTGAAATACATATATTTAGGTCAATTTCGGTAATAATGAATATTTAAAACACCATCTATGAATCGATAGCTTAACTACACGCCCTAAATCAATACTAAACCCCGACATCTAGTGATATTTATTTATATTTAATCTTTTATTTTTATTATTTGTCTTTAATACTAGAATATCTCAATTATTTTGTTTTATTTAAATACAAAATTGTTATTTTCTTATTAAAAAAGCCGATATCAACCTCAATCTGTACAAAATCGGTGGCTAAACTTAAAGTAGATAACGTAATATTTATTAAAGATAGAATTACAGTAATGTGCATAAATTAATATCTGCTTCCCTGCTAATCCCTAACAGATAGAGTTGCTAAAAAGGGAAGTCTAGTTCAGAGAGGACTGGGTTGGACTAAGTTATGGTGACTCCGACAAAAAAGTAGGATTCATAACTAACGAATCTAAAACAAAATATACGGAGTCTACAAGATCCCCAAGAAGAGACTCAAACCACTTCAACATAATAAATTATTCATTTGAACGAATACAAATCTGCGTATATTTGGGAACCAGAATAAACGAAAGAAGTAATGTCTAGGCTAGAATACTTAGCTGCAATAAGTGCCTAATGATGAGAAAATTTTCATATTTTGAATAACTATTTTTAGTTCAGGTAAAGTAACCTTTTTGTTCATGATACGGCAAAATTTTATTAAAAAAAGTTGTTCAAAATGAGAGATTATGGTCCTATGTCAAATTTCATAAAGATCTACCTACTTTGGTTGAATCGACACATTTTAGCATTTCTCGATTATTCGGTATTGGTTGTTATTCTAACGTCGGGACACCTTGGAGGCTACGCAATTGGACCATTTCTAGATATAATCTGTTCTCGAAATATTAAATCTAACGATTCAGCTACGCGTGCTGTAGGTAGAATGTGCAGGTGTGTTGCAATCAGCGGCATGTCGTCTAAGTATTCTTCCTTGAACCTTTCAAGTAGCTGCTGATGAAGAAAGGCCCAATAATACCTAAACTGTGTGAAATGGCGTTGCAATTTCGATTTCTCTTTGATTGTCTACGATGTTCTTTCACGGAATTAAGAGCAATAATAGTTGTGGTAAGGTAGTCGTCATATTTCTTTCTTTCTCTCTTCTTAACTAATCATGTAAGATTGGTATTTGGAAATCTCCCGTTAAACTGCTTCACCACTGTTATTAGTGTCTTCACTCTGATCTAATCAAAAGTATGGCGGCTTAATCAATGTAAGTAGATCTTTCTGATATTTTGCATAGTAAAATAATAATAATTTTTCATTCCGAACAGCTTTTCTTCAATGTCACTATACCTCCTGCAACTTATATTCTGGGACATACACTGTGTTAATTAACTATCATACCCGACGTCATCATTGCAAGTATGCAACCAATATCACAGTATTCGTATTGCAATACGCTAATCGTTTTATTGGTTGCATACTTGCAATGATGATGTCGGGTACGATAATTAATTAACACACTGTACTGTAGAAAGAATAAGGACGAATCGCATGGGTGGAACATTTGGAAAGAATGCTGGGAGGCAGAGGAGTTAAGAAAATTGTGAAATTGAGAGTTAAAGGAATATCAAAAAAACGGTAATAATAATTATCAACACGAATATAAGTTGGGGATTTTGCAGAATAAATTTAAATTTAAATTAAAAACATAAAATTGATCAATTTATTTCTGATAATGATATATTACTATATTTTCGTGGAATAAAGATTATAAAAAAAATTGTAGTAAAGTACTGATACGAATGTTATAACCCATATCAATCAATATTTGTTGACTAAACGATAAAAACAATTTAATAAAAAAAATCACTGTTTATTTTTCATTTTTTAATAAAATTATTTATTTATTTCAGCAATACCAAGAAATTTAACAGGATCAAAACTCCAAATGAGTGTAAATAAAGAAATCGTCAGAACTTAATTATCATGCATGTAACCTTGCTTCTGTAATGGGTCACTTGAATTCAAACAAACTATGTCTCATAATATAAATTAACTCATTCAGATCTGCAAAACGTTAGTCTTTAGTCGTCGTTCAACCGAAGACTACTTCTTAAAGTTTTTACACAACAAGGTAAAGTATTGTATTTTAAGTTTTTTAGAAAGTTAATTATCCCGTTACGTCACGTGCAATATACAAGGTCAATGATCTTTTTTTAAAGAAATCACCAAAAAACAAAAGAATCTAACAAGTGGGGTAACATTTTCTAAATAACTGTCCTTTATGAAAATGATTAAAAGGTTATTAGGGGGGTGGTTATTAAGGGTGGTTTAGGGATCTGGGCGTAGCAGTAATCGATACTCTTTTGTGATGTTCCCTTTTTGTACAAAACAAGTTAAGAAAACTGGTCGAAATTTCTATTTTTTAATCCCGTTCTAGCGCAAGTCCGATATCGCGATGAGCTCGGCAATAATACGAACGCTTTGGTTCGCCGGTGTTTTGGTTTTCATGTTTAGAGAGTCGCAATCCGCCACCGCAGGACGACGCACTACCTTTTCTACATCGCAAAATACCGGTTCATTCTCAAGTGGAAAAGGAAAAAAAGTCATGGAGCCCGCTTTTGAACATGCTGGGCAAACCCCAGGGTTAGAAATTTGGAGAATTGAGGCAAGTTTTTTTAAATTATTTTAAAATTTAATTATACTTTATTTATATCTAAAGGACATAAATGTATAGATAATATATTAATTAATTTTATATATGTTAATTAATTGATTTTTAGATGCATTTTTTTTTAAATTAAATTTATAGCAGTATTAGAAGATTTAGATAAAAACGACAGATGTTGAACGATCGATAGTGAGGATTAGTTATTTTTGCTTGTATCATACCTACAAAAAAATATATTATCAGATTGTCCAAAACTGACTCATATAGATTACATTTTCTCCTTGCTATTTTTGTTTTTTATTTTTTGACTCTGAGTCAATAAAAATTCTGATATTTCCGACCCCTAAAAATAACATTTAGAGTCTTGTAACATGTGCGGAAGGAACGTGGGAAAGTTATAAATAAATATCCCCGGCAACAATCGAAGAATATCTTTCACCGGTTTTTTTTAATCAGATAACAATTCCTTATCAAAAACAAGCACACAAAAACACTTTACTTTTAATAAAATAATACCACGAACAAATATTTAACGATTTAAAAGTATATTGATTTCGCAAGAAGTATTGTTATTTTCTATATTTTATTTGTAACGATTTCAAATAATTGACAACAATCCAAATCAAACTAACAATAACCTTGTGTACATAAAGCGACCTTGTATTCAGTGAATGAATCATTGCGGTAAATGTTGTAAAAAAATCGATATCCAACCCAAATACAAATATGTTGACCAATTAAGCAACCCGGAATTACCGTGTTAAAATAAATAAAGCTATTTATACATTACTAAGTAAATTTTGATTCAAATAGTGTTTTCGAATTAATTCTTAAATCAACATTGATAACAATGAAACAATCTTTACCTTTCAGAATTTCAAGCCAGTCCCATATCCAAAGAAAGATTATGGGAAATTTTTCACCGGTGATTCATACATAGTCTTATTTGTAAGTCCAAAAATTCTCATTATAAATTCGAGAAAATCCCATATTTAATTTTTAATTTCCTTTTAGACCAAAGAAAAAAATGGCGTATTTAGTTGGGATGTACATTTTTGGTTGGGAAAAGAAACGTCGCAAGATGAATCTGGAGCAGCCGCGATATTAACGGTACAATTAGATGACCAGTTGGGTGGAGGACCAGTTCAACATCGCGAAGTACAAAATCATGAGACTCAAGTTTTCTTGTCGCATTTTAAAAGTGGAATTCGATACGCCCCTGGAGGTGTTGCGTCTGGATTTAATCAAGTTAATCGCGATGAATTTGAAACGCGGTTGTTCCACGTTAAAGGAAAACGTAATGTTCGCGTTAAACAAGTTGATGTAACTATTGGCTCGATGAATAAAGGGGATTGCTTTATTTTGGATGTTGGAAAAACTATTTATGTTTATGTTGGCCCAAGCGCTAAAGGCGTCGAAAAATTGAAAGCGATTAGCGCTGCCAATCAAATTAGAGATCAAGATCATTCTGGTAGAGGAAAAGTTATTATTTTAGATTCATCTGCTCTCTCTTCAGAGTACGATGATTTCTTTGAAGCACTCGGTGGCGGAAATGCCGACGATGTTCCCGATGATTCCGCAAGCAGCAGCGATGATGAATTCGAAGTCGACGTTGAGAAAGGCACAACATTATCCAAAGTTTCTGATAGCACAGGAAAATTAACCATCGACGCTATCGGCACCAAACCACTTTTACAATCAATGTTAGATAGCAATGATTGCTTCATCTTGGAAACTGGAGGTGCTAACATTTACGTGTGGGTTGGAAAGAAATGCAATGCTAAAGAGAAATCTGAAGCGATGACAAAAGCTGGGCAATTTATGGAAACGAAAAATTATCCCGCATGGACCCGCGTACAAAGAATCGTCGAAAACGCCGAACCAACCAGCTTTAAACAATACTTCCAAACGTGGAAAAGTGCTACAGAAACTTATAGTAGACTTATTCGTTCGATCGATGATGAACCACAAGCTAAATTAGAATTAAAAAGTTCCGGCGAAGCCCCAGAATTTATGCCAGACGATGGTTCAGGTACCGTCGAAATTTTCCGCGTGGAAAATTTCGAACTCGCCGATGTTGCGAAAGAAAATTACGGAAAATTCTTCGGTGGTGACTCTTACGTCATCAGATATAATTATGACGGGAATAATTGGATCATTTACTTTTGGCAAGGTGATGATTCATCGATCGATGAAAAAGCTTCGTCAGCTTTCCATGCTGTTCGTTTAGACAACGAACTCAACGGAAAAGCAACCCAAATTAGAGTCGTTCAAGGGTACGAACCAAAACATTTCTTACACATTTTCAAAGGTAAATTAATCATTTTCATGGGCGGCCACGAAAGCGGATTCAAAAACATTAAAGAACACGACACTTACGTTGAAAATGAAACTCGTCTTTACAAAATTCGTGGAACGAGTGACGTTGATGTACGCGCAGTTCAACTCCCAGCCAATTCTAGTAGCTTAGAATCCGATGATGTATTTATCGTTGAAAACGATGCTAACACTTGGATTTGGTATGGAAAAGAATCAAACGATATTGAAAAAAATCTTTCTGCCAATTTCTTGGAATTACTCGCCCCCGGATCAAGTCACGTTGATATCAACGAAGGCGATGAACCCGACGAATTCTGGGAAGCTTTAGGAGGAAAAACCGAATACAAACAAAGCTTCACCGATGATTTGAAACCATTATCAACCACCCTATATCATGCCGCTATTAAATCAGGAAGAAAACTCAAAATTGAAGAAATCGACGATTTCACACAAGAAGATTTGGTTGAAGATGACGTTATGATTCTTGACGCGATCAACCAAGTTTACATTTGGTCTGGAAAAGATTCCACCCTCGAAGAAAGAGAACAAACTTACAATTACGTTTTGGAATATTTAGCCAAAAATCATCGCCAAGGAACTATTGTGTTCACTATTAAACAAGATTCAGAAACGGAAGCCTTCAAAAACTTATTCCCATCCTGGAATGATGAACCCGAAAACACCGTTGCAAACACTTTTGCTGCTTTAAAACAGAAGTTCCAAGAAGAAGAATAAAATTTATATTTATACATATATATATTTTTACATTCATGTTATTGCTTACGTATACAAATTAATGTTCAATGTTTTATTGCTTTTTTCTTAAATTAACAATAAAAATATTTTATTTCTTTTATTTTTATATTAATTTTGATACAGTTGGAGATATGACAAAATATTCTATGCTTTGCCATATTCTGAAAAAAAATTGAGCATCACATGTGAGACTTCGAAAACACCAGGAATAATATTTGGGGCGGCAGACATCTTCGAAGTCTGTGTGGAAGGAATATCTCGGCCGACTTTGAAAACATCGGCCACCCTAAGTATTGTTCGTGATATAAGAAATAATCTCGGCCGACCCAAGTACCATGAATAATACTATTGACTATTTTATACCAGACCGCTACGTAAAAATTGGTAATACGTAAAGAGTTATTTTTGGATTTGTCCGCTATGGGGGCGCTGGTGGATTTTCTAATAATAATGGATATGATTAAGAGATGGCAGCACTATTTTTTATTTATATTCCCCCTCTTATATTTTCTTGTACTAATAATAAAAATTGTTACATTTCGAACAAAAATATAATTTATTTATCAAATTATAATTTCGTGCAAAATAATTTGATATTAAAATAGTATTATTTAAGTGTTTGTCTAACCTACTATTTAAATTCATGTATCTACCAACTGGAAGTCGAGAGATTAGAAAAAATTAATTTTAATTAAATTCGTTATAACTAAAGAACGGTTTGACCGATTAACACGTTAAAATTTCTTATTGGTAGGGGTGTTAATGTTGCTGATGATTGGGCGGATACTCTGATCTGTTTTATGAAGTTTGATAAGGCTTTTAATTAGTTCTTTTAAGTTATTGTTAAATTAACCCTTAACCCGAAACATTGAAATATCAACCTTATTAGAAACAACATGTCTACCAGACCTTGATTATTGAAAATTCAAATATACAACTTCATTCATAGTAATAACTGCTCAAATTATAATTATTAATTTTCGACTACATTCTAAGGAAATTGGCTTGGAACAACGGATGCAACATTAATTCGTTTTTCTGCCAAATACTGCAAGTTTTTCTTGCCATCGGGAACAGTATTTTCATCATTGTATTTTCTCAAAAGATTTAGACCGCACTTCCCCAGGAAGGTTTGTTGTTAGTGTTTGCCTTAGATGAGGTTCTAACAGTTCAAAAACCAAAAACCCTAGTACTCATGTTTACTACGGTGTAAAATACAGCTAATTTCATATCGAGAACATCAACTCTTGACTGGTATAGTTGTAACATTTAATTATTTCTGGCTTTCCAAGTTCATTATCTTTAGAATGGTGCATAGTTTAAACTAATAGAACTGCTCTATTGCGTCAAGCCAGATTATTTCTATTGACTTAAAATAGTTATCCACGGTTACGTTTCTGATTGATCTTTCGATAGGTTTACACGATCTAATCACACATTGTGAAGGCTTAGATAGTTTTCTCTCTTCTTCAGAGAGCCCTACACCCACCATCAGTATCTTTTCCTGCGTAAATGTAGCCATTGTAGAAATATGCATTGCGTGTGGTCATGCACATTATTTTTATGCCATGTTTAGCTGGCTTGCTAGGCATGCATATATGAAAATGACAATTACCTCTAAAAGGTATAAAGTATATTTCATCAATATTAACGCATTTTCCTACGGTAAATAGTTTTTAGCTATTCGACTTCTTTCATTCTTCCCGATCTACGCTGTTATCAAATCTAATAAAATTTCGAACCTTTTAACAGACATTGTCGTTCTAAAAATGGGCCGTCCCAAATAATCTTTGGAAAATAGGGATAATATGTCCTCATGTGAGGATTTCATAATTAATGACATAAGGAGTCCAAGCAGCGCTTTGATTTCAGTAGAATTCGTATCATATCATTATCCAAATCTCTTCTTTAGAAGGATTATTTCCTAAATTTTTACCAATTGTAGTTAGCGCTGGTAAACCAGTAATGATATTATGCGATCTGGTTTCAGTGTTTCTTATTGGTTCAGTCTACATCCACCGAAAACCATTTTTGCCACAATATATGACTTCGTCGGATATGTCCAAGAAATCATCATCTGCCTTTAATCATTACTATACTCTAAAATATAATCAGGATCTTGGTCCGAATCATCTGCTATTTCATCAGGTTCTTCGTTCGATGAATATAAACTTGTTCCGTTAGCCAACATTTCGTGTACCTTATTTTCAAAATCTGGATTGTTCAAATTTATTCGGGTATCATGTCTACTAGGACTTGGTTTATCCATAGTTGCTACTTTTGTTTAGTATATATATGGAACTACAAACATTGGTCTATAGGATCTCCTTACCGTAGTTTGAAACAACTGGTTTCATAGACTTGCTCGTTTCTAGAATCTACTACTCACATCACACAGCACTATGACAATTCAAACTGTCTGCTGGACCTATGTTTCGGGTTAAGGGTTAAAGGGTGGGATTATTCTTAATTTTTAAAGTGTTATTTTCTTTGAAAAAAGTTAATGTCTTTTTTATGATGACTCTTTATCCAACACAACGAGTCCTGCATTTTTGTCTCCCATGGTAACAATAAGATTTTTTATTTCAGATTTTTAATGTTGCGAAGAAAGATTTTATGTTAACGTTCTTATTCCCACTTCACCCTTTATCATCTGGCGAATGTTCCTTATGACCATCAGACCAATTTCACCCTCATCATGCTCTGATCATCATGCTCTGACAACCATGATGCTCTGATCTCAATGAGAGTTAGTACTTTCATGGAGGCATTGTCGTTAGCGAGGCTTACAAACCTTCCAGCATGCCTATGAAGTGGGTATATATGCATCATGATTATTTTCCACTTGGAATAATAGGATTGATATGTTGTATGCGCAAGCCGAATGACTCTCATTCTGTCTTAAATAATACTATTTTAATATTAAATTTTTTTCCACGAATGTTCTATTTATATGTACAGTTCTGTTCAGATATAATGCTAAAAGAGCCGCTCGTAGAGGCATAAAATTGTACTAGAAACGACCTACGTTCACGAGGCATTCAATTCGGTTTTACCTGCTCTGTAGTCTTGTAAAAATTCAGAACAGGCAAGCGGGGTGGTGTGATTTATGGCCAAGATGACTGAATCACAAAGAACAATTAAGAAAATAAATAGGTATAAGCAATCCATTTACTTTACACAATTCCTGTAGTAAAATAATTAGTAATAATTACTATATTACTTTGGTAATACAGTGGAAGGATAAGTCGAACCTCAAAAGAAATGAAAATGATATATTGATAATAAGTTATATACAGTGTGTCCCAGGATAGGTGTTACAAGAGGTATAATGACTTAAAAATTCTTGAATGTTAGTAAGCTTTTTGTTCATGATACGGCAAAATGTCATTAAGAAAAGTTGTTCAGAATGAGAAATTATGGTACTATGCAAAATTTATATATTTATATCATACGGTCCATTATACCATCAAATATCAGTATTTTGTATAATACCAACATTGCAATCTAGTGGACATCGAATTTACTAATCTTTCGCATACATCCTTGCCGCGAAACAATTCCCACACAACTGTAATGTTGCGGCGCAGATTATCCACGTTGCGAAAAGGAAAGTTGGCGTTTTTATTGAACTGTTTTTCCACCAAAGCCCATAGATTGTCGAATGGGTGTAGATCCGGTGACCAAGCTGGTCGGGATATTCGCCTAACCTCATTATGATCGTCAAACCAATCATGAACAATTCTTGAAGAATGCATGGGCGAATTGTCTTGGGCTATCGTGATGATCCCTTCTGGGTACAAGCTTCTTACTGATGGTATCAACACATCCTCCACCACTCGAATGTATTCAATCGAATTAAATCTTCCTTTAATTTCGGGCAGTTCTCCTAGTCCATGAATGCTCATCCATCCCCAATAACCCAAGGAAATGCGTCCACTTCTTGTACTGGGTTGAACATGATTAGCATCATACGATTAAGATTTTTTCGTCTGTGAAGATGATTGGTTCCCAATTATACTCAAGGTATTCACGGGCAAATCGTAACCGTGTTGTAGCCAATTGCTCCGTAATTAGGGTTTTTTTACAGCTACCCGGGCATGAATGACTTATCTGACGTTTTATTTATAGATATATTCTATCATCATTTATTAGAGGAACATATAAAAAATCGTCTATTTGTTGTGCTTAAAAATATCAAAAAAGATTTAAAATAAAATAAAATTAATACATATAATAATCGAATTGAATAGAAACAAAAGATGTCTCCGTCTTCTTCCAGTACCAGCGTCATGTCGGAGCTAACAGCGGCCGATTCGCATTAAATCTGAACAGAGCTGTACATATGGTACACTAGCTCAAGATATAGAAGTGTTCAATATATTTTCCACGAAGAATAATAATAAAAATTCAATATGTACGTATAAATAGAATGTTCGTGGAAAATAATTTGATATTAAAATAGTATTATTTAAGAGTAGTATAATCAATGCTAAAAATGAAACATAGTGTATAATTGGTTGCCAACTAAACGAAATGTGTACGTGTAAAATTGGTTGCGTTAATAAAGTTAACAAAAAAAACGATGCTTTTTATGGATCATAATACATAATCAAAAGATTACTTTATTGTTCGATCGTGTCACGTGTGAATCATAAAAAGTCTTTCGAAAATTGACGGTTTCGATCGGATTTATGAAAATATCGTTTGTCGTTTTGTAATCATCCGATTAATCACCAGATTAAGTATTATCAAGAATTTTTTAGTCTTGAATAAGGCAGATGGAGTGGGACTATTTAAATAAAAAATACAGAAGACAACCGGAACGTATGTTATGTATAATTTAACTTGAGTTGAACATTTTGTGTTGTGTGTTATTATTTTAAAATTGCTGTTACAGCTGTTGTAATATATTAACCTTTGCGCAATAGTAGTGGAAACTGTCAATGCCAAACTCAGGTGTTATTTGAGGATTTTATTCAACACAAGTTTTCAAAACAGGTAGTAGCAGTAAATAAGTGTCAAGGAAAACCAGTTCGAACAGAGGAAATAGTATCATCTCACCAAAAAAAAGAGATACCTTCTTAATAATAATAAGCGTTTTTTGATTGAAAACAAAGATTGTAAAGATGAAGAGGGTGAGGAATTTCTACGAATTTTATGATGATTAAATGGAGACTAATTATGGGTTTTAAAATGTCGTTTATTTTAAACGATTTTGTGCATCCAAAATTATTTCTTTGAAACCATTTGATGTTAATATCACCATGGACGACGTCGAACAATCTGTACTCTTAACAAATTTTACTTGTAAGAAACGAAGATTCAAAGTGTTTTTTCATCAATTAAAGATTATTTGGGATACAGAGAAACCACCTTTCCGTAAGTATAATACATAAATAAATACACACATATTAATTTTCTTATTTTGTAGATCAAGTAACCGTCCCAATACAAAATGTTATTGCAGTTAAACAAAATTTTTTACCAGTATCTCATCCCTTAGATGATCCATCGATAGATCCAAATAATTTTACTATACACTATGCTGAAAAAGGTAGAAACAAAACTTGGGAGTATAAATCAATCACTTTTAGACATTCCGATCCAATCCAAGTTGTATCTTGGGTAAAAACATTACAAAATCATTTAGAGAGTAAGTAACTTAATAATAAATAACTTTTAGAAGTATCATTTAGCTTTTTTAGCTTTTACTAATCGTCCAAAAAAAATGTTATTATTTGTGAATCCTTTTGGAGGAAAACGCAGTGCAATGCAAATTTATGAAAAAGAAGCAAAACCATTGTTTATATTGGCAAATATTGATGTAACAGTGAATGTATCACAAAGAAAAGATCAAATCAAAGACTTTGTTACTTATCATAACTTAGATATGTTTGATTCTGTCGCTTGTGTTGGTGGAGATGGAACAGTTTCTGAATTATTTAATGGATTGGTTATTAGAGAATGTCGAATGAAAGGAATTGATATGAATGATCATAGTCAAGCTTTACCTAAACCAAGTTTACCAGTTGGAATTATTCCTGGTAATTATAATTTTTTTTTTAATAGCTTGAGATATTTTAGTTTTGTAAGAAGTTGTTGTTAGAGTTCCTAAAAGACTTCAGTTCTTAAGTATTATTATTTTTCATTGTACAAAAATAAAGGTCAAAAGAAACGTTCCTTTCAACACAAAGTTTTTATTAAGTGCATATTAGTGGTGGAATGATCCAAGATACAAAATGAACTTTTTTGATGCTTTAATTAATAATATTTTCACAAGCATCTTTCTCAAAAACTAAAAGTTATTTTTCAAAACGAATTGGTTCATTGGAAAGAGGACAGTTTTATTAACACTTTGGGAAATTTTCATACTCATATTCCAAGAACTTGATTTTATACGAATTTTTAAAACTTAATCGGCGAAAATTGAAAATTTCGAAAAAATTGTCGATCATTTCAAAAATTTATTTCTGAAAAACTAAAAGCGATTCTTCAAAACGGCTTGTTGCATTAAAAAGAGGATACTTCAATTAATAATTGATGATATTTATACAAGGATTCTTCAAGAAATTAATTTTATAGCGAATTTTAAAAATTGCAACATCGAAAATTTTATCAAAACTTCAAATATTGTTTTCTCAAAAACTAAAAGTTATTTTTCAAAACGGATTGGTTCATTGGAAAGAGGACAGTTTTATTAACACTTTGGGAAATTTTTATACTCATATTCCAAGAAGTGGATTTTATATGAATTTTTAAAACTGAATCGGCAAAAATTGCAAAATTCGAAAAAATTGTCGTTCATTTCAAAAATTTATTTCTCAAGAACTGAAAGCGATTTTTCAAAACGGCTTGTTGCATTAAAAAGAGGATACTTTAATTAATAATTGGTGATATTTCCACAAGGATCCTTCAAGAAATTAATTTTATAGCGAATTTTGAAAATTATCGATGAAAATTGCAACATCGAAAATTTTATCAAAACTTCAAATATTGTTTTCTCAAAAACTAAAAGTAATTTTTCAAAACGGGTTGGTTCATTGGAAAGAGGACACTTTTATTAACACTTTGGGAAATTTTCATACTTATATTCCAAGAACTTGATTTTATATGAATTTTTAAAACTGAATCGGCAAAAATTGCAAAATTCCAAAAAATTGTCGATCATTTCAAAAATTTATTTCTGAAAAACTAAAAGCGATTCTTCAAAACGGCTTCTTGCATTAAAAAGAGGATACTTTAATTAATAATTGGTGATATTTCCACAAGGATCCTTCAAGAAATTAAATTTATAGCGAATTTTGAAAATTATCGATGAAAATTGGAAATTATCAAAACTTCAAATGTTGTTTTCTCAAAAACTAAAAGTTATTTTTCAAAACGGATTGGTTCATTGGAAAGAGGACAGTTTTATTAACACTTTGGGAAATTTTCATACTTATATTCCAAGAACTTGATTTTATACGAATTTTTAAAACTTAAACGGCGAAAATTGAAAAATTCGAAAAAATTTTAAAAAATGGCCGGATACCGGATAGTTACCGGATATCCGTTCCACCACTAGTGCATATGATGCAACTTTCCTTATTAGCATTGATTTCAAAACTTAGTAGATTCGAAGATATTTAATAGGAAAGAAAAAAAGAATTGAAATAACATTATTTATATAAACCAACAAGATGGTCACAACATTATTTTCTAAAATAACTTATAAAAACTGTTCAAAATTACTTCAATTTTCATACACGCACAATTCGAATCGCCTTACAAATTCAACATTACATACACTAAGTAATGTGACGCGATTAATTGCATTAATATTTGCAAAATTGTTGCGTATAAATCCGCCATATTGGTTATGGATTCACACAGTTCAGGAAGAAAACTCCAGGTAATGGTGACTTGTTAACGTATCGTGGTATAAATATGGTCCTACCAAAGTTCCATTGATTATCCCACACCAAATATTGTCCCCAAAATTTGATTATTTTGTTTCCATTATTACGGCAACGACTTTCGTCGCACCATATGTTATTCAGAAAGTTGTTTTTTTAGCCAAATGTTGCATAAAATTGCACTTATACGGTAAAAATGTATTGATTTTTAAAATTCGATGGCACGACGTAACAGAAATTTGCGTGTGTTCCTTTAATTGCCTCCGGGTTAATATTGCCGCCATTTTTATTTGCATGAGGAACCATTTTAATTTAAAATTTTATCCGTTAATTTTAAGATATACAAAATATGCACGCTTCTATGCAAATGTCATAACCATCTCAATTCTATCATTCAAAATAAAGTTTTCTCGGTGTTAATAACTTCTTACAAAACTAAAATATCACAACCTATTCCAAAACAAAAAATGAAATTTCACTAATACAATAAAAATTTGATTTAATTAGGCGGTAGCACAGATACAATAGCATATTGTCTACATGGAACAAAAGATACGCAAACAGCAGTACTTCATATAATATTTGGTGATACATTAGGATTGGATTTAGTATCAGTTTACGATACAACACGTCTTTTAAGATTATACGCTAGTGTTTTAAGTTATGGTTACTTAGGCGATGTGGCTTATCATAGTGATAGACACCGTTGGATGGGTCCTCGTCGTTACGAGTACTCGGGTTTAAAAAAAATTTTAATGAACAAGGGTTATAAAGGTGAGATAGCAGTATTATCAGTGGAGAGTGGCAGTGAAGGCGAAGAAGGTTCTTCGTCGAAATGTTTCGAGAGTTGTTCCACTTGCCTAGAAAGTAGCTGTGATGATGTTAGTATTAAAAAGGATGGTTGTAATTGGAAAACGTTGAATGGGAAGTATTTTATGGTTAGCGGTGCGAATATTAGTTGTGCTTGCGATCGTAGTCCAAATGGAATCGCGCCATTTTGTCACGTGGGTGATGGACATTTGTACTTAGTACTTGTACACCATACGAGTTTATTAAACATACTTCGATTGCTGTTGAGGATGTCTTCAAAACGAGGAAAAATTGATGACTTGCCGTTTATCGAGATGCATAAGGGTAAAGAATTTCGATTCAAATCTCTTGAAGGACATAGTAGATGGAATTGTGATGGCGAAGTTGAATCAGAAACCGACATTCATGCAATGTATGGTTCATTTTGATTGTATAATTTTTAATTAAATTTAAACATTTTATTTGCAGAGTAAGATGTCAACTCTTATCAGTTTATAGTCGAGGAAATCCCATTCCGGCCGATGATGAAACCACTAAATGTTGCGGTTTATGCAAAAACTAAAAATGCAATACTATATATAGAAGAACAAGTATTCGAGCAATTTCTTTTCTCTTGGTGAATGTGGTATATGTTTTTATCATATTTTTTTGTATTTTTTTCCTTTTACTTAATGTTTACATTCCTGTTTTTAAATATTTATACATCATATATTTTTAATAAATATTTATTTAGTATATAACATTTTTTTATTGATTGGTTTAAGATTTTGTTTTAAGTTGTAGCTACTAGTTGCGAGAGGGCGCTGATTTAGCTCGATTTTGTTTGTGTTTTGGCAATTAAATTGTAGATGGTAGTCTACAAAAAGAAGTGAGCGTTCAAAATTCAAAATAATCTTTATTTATAAAAATATAAAAGTTTTGGAACATCACCCCCCCAAAAAGAAATATAAAATAATAATCCTATTATTGTTAATTAGCACCGATAACCTTTTGTGAGGATATAGCTTTTAAAATATGAATAGTTAATGCGGTTTTATGCTGTAGGGTTGATAATAAGCTTTTCGAAACGGTAGTAGAGGGTCTTGTAGAATAATTAATAACGTTTCGCGGTCCGCGTCGTGGCGCATCACTTCTCGCGAACATTCTTTTTCGATTTACCACAAATGAAGTGGATTTCTTTTTCTTTGCGACTTGACGCCCGCCAATTGTATCTGTCAATTTTCATTTGCGCCCCACACTTTTTTTTATCGGGAACAGAGAATTTTTTTTGGCGTTGACGGGCGTCGCGACGAACATACCAAGGTTCAAGGGGATTGGTATTCTTCATTAGGTCCGCTATACCGCGGTAATTACGTTGGGAGATTGATGGTTTATATTTGTACTGGTCAGTCGGGTCAGGAAAGGTCACGGAGATGCCTGTGTACGCAGTCCCTCTGCTGCGGCACCTCGAGTTACCAGCGGTCAATATCGCCAAGAAGTGTTACGAAATGCTTATGTATATTCCTCCAATATTCTCTTAGTTTCTTAATATATGTTGTTATTGTGGCAAGTAAAAGTATCAAATTTCTAAAGAAAGTTTTTTTTGGTTAAAATATAATTTAATGAGGTTAATGAATTAAAAGATTCTTTTATGATGGACAAAATATGAAGAAAGTCCGAGAAGAGTTGAAGGGCTCGGAAATTAATTAAACAATGCCATGGCATATTTTATGATAATTGCCAAAGAGTCGGTGTTTATTATTTACAAACTTCCTACTTTAAAGTCAGCCCCGCTGCAGATGGAGGACCAAGAGTTGCTAAGTGCTTGTCATTATGATTGCTGACTAACACCTGGGACGGCTTAGGATCAAGGGTTCGTCTCCTCGTCGGACGAACCGCCCACCCCTCGCAAACCCTTCCGGACTAATTACTTAATATCTGCGGATATTAGTGCTTCAGGCGTCGCGACGCTTTTATAAACGGGACGCTACCGCTGAAAGTCGATGATTTGAATCGGGTAATGGCGATGAAAATGTGTGCGGGCGTCGGCGCGCGTTTCCGGGCTCACCGCCGCCGCCGTTCCGGGCGTCGCGACGCGCGATGGCCACTGCACGAGTTCTGCCGGATTTTAAAATCGCGACGACTTAGACAAAAGAGTGTTTCCATGACAACGTGCTGACCTACCCGGATTGGTCACTAGAAAAGTGTCAATAGATACACGCCCACCTACAAGCTCTCTGTATATCAAGAACCCCTCCTTCGTCGGCGATTGATTTGCAAGATTTTTCCTTTCTACCTCGACTACAAAAGTTCTATTCTCTTCTCTTACTCATTTTCTATACTCCTTTTGTTTTTAACTTTTTTAAACGATTCAACTTTTTTTTATTTTTATTTGACAAAAAAAATTTATCAAAAAGTTGAATCAAAAATCTAATTACATTAGATTCTGCTCAACAGTTATTACAAGGGTTCTCAGTTAAAAGGGTAACTTTATCTTTATCAAGGGGTTTATTAAGATCGAGGAAGTTACTTTTACAAGATCTGATTTAAAATATGGTTTTCATAAACAAGTCTTTAAATCAAAAAAAAAATTTAAATTAACAACAATTTAAATTTATATTAATAGAAAATAAAATGATTGATTATGATGAGTTTCGTTTTAACAGTTTTAATAGTTGGTGACGTTTATATATTTTTTTGTTCTTTTATTGATGAGATGTAAAGAGATAAATAGTGAGTATAGAATAGGGAATAGTGGCCGTAGTTGTTGTGTGTGTATAATTTAGATTAGGTTTACGTTTCTGAATGCGGGCTGTTAATTGCGAGCATCGAATAAAATTTAAATACGAGACGTGACGCAATCGGCGCGTTTCGAGTCCAATTGTTTCCAATCTCTAATATTAATTGACCTTTAGTTAACACTAATAAACGACTTGCATTCCGTTGACCGTCCGTCAACAATATTGGCGCCAAGAGGCCGCTAATAAAGCGAAGCCCGACGATGAACATGGAGCAGATGTTGCTCTTTTTCCCACAATCTCCTAATGATCCTAAATGTTTAACCGCCCGACCAAAAGGTGACAAATTTTTCGTTCAACAAACACGAGAAACTATCAATTTCGTTTATCATTAGGGCCGAAATCCGAAATCTCGGACAGATTTAGATTAATTATTACCTCTGCATGTACGTTTTCTGTTGCACCCGGTTTTGAAACGGAAATGGACTTTTTATCTCCTCGACTTTTGACCTTAACGCAACAAAGGATGCGCGTTGTGATTGACAGCTTTTCATTTTGCCCTTGTTTGAATTTTTAAAGGAATCGACGCACGCGTTCCCTTTAAAAAAAAAGAAAAAAAAAACTTAGATAAAGTCTTTTGCTCCGCTGTCACTCGTCGAAATTCATTCGATTGTCGCCTCTTCGTTGAGACGTATTTACCGAGAAAGGAAAGATATTCTACGACATTTAACACGAACATCACGAAACGTATCGTTAAAAGCTCGTTTAATACATTCGGGGTAATATTTAAATCTTGAAAATAAAAATCTCATTTCTTTATAAATACAGTCATTTTATTCGCTTATCGTTTACATACTATTTACAAGACGATTTTTAAGTAAATATCATTAAGTTTTGTAACTTTGGCACTGGCCTAGTGGATAACAACGTATTAAAAAACAGCACGGAAGTGAAATAAGTACGGCTAAAGAAAGATATAATAATAATTAGTCACCGTGTACAGAATCTTTTCGTACATACAAGTAACAAATAATAATCTGCTTAAGAAATTATATAAATTTTTAAAATAATTTTTTATTAATTTTTTTAGTTACTTGATGTGTATAATTTTTAGGTGACAAAAGAAAAAAAAACAGAAATTGGGGTAAGAGTATAAATATCGATGTAACAAATAAAAAACAGCAACAACGTACAACAATAATAATAATAATAAAAAATCAATGAACACTGGCGATCGACCTAAAATAAAACACACACACAACGCGAACGGGCGATAATGTTTCAATAAGTATATATTATTTGTATGCACAAAATTTACAATCTCTACCTTACCTAAAAATCTTTTTTTACACTTAGATTCCTTAACGAAATTTTTAAATTACACATTTACAACTATATTTCCCTCGACAATCTCGCACTTGAAATCATTTTTTTATCGGCTTTTCTATTAATTACTTATGTACTCTTCTCGTTATTATAAAAAGGAACATTCGGGTTGCTTTATTCAATTTATTTTTATTAAAATTTTATTTTATTCTCGTAATCTATACATTTAGTCATTTATTTAGTTTTTTTTATTTATTTCTTTTTCGAAGATCGTTCGTGATATGTTAGGTACCTTTCGTTCCGGCCTCCTTTCTTAAATTCTTTCAAAGAGGCTGAGCTGTTCGCGTTGACTAGTCGGCTCTTTTTTATTTATTTTTTGTACGTACCTATAAGTCGTCGCGTTCGTTAGGTATTAAAATTCGTAACTTTTGACTAGTGGCCTAGTATAGTTTTAAGTATCACATGTATGGCCAGGAGAATGAACTTCCCGACAGCAGCATATCCCTTATCAATGTTTCTATGGGCGTTTTACCCACAAGTCGTACAAAGAACAGCTGCTCAATCACTGCCGAACTTACGGTTCTTAAACTTGGCAATCTCAATAAAAGCTTACCAAACCTCGTCGGTTGGTTAGGATACTGACTCCTACAGTACTCTTCTAAGGCGCACTGAGATTTTTCTTGAATTGATTCTATATGGGCTACATCACTTAAACCACAAGCATCTGAAATAAAAAAATTAAAAATAAATCTGTAAACTGATACTTTTAAATTTTAAATCTAAAGGAATTTTTAAAATATACTTTGGAAAAAAATTAATGCATGCTTTAATAAATTAAGACCGTGAAATGGCGTTGTTCAAAGTGCTTCCTGGGGGCGTAAAGAGAGCGTCAATCGGGCCGTCGAGTGTCGGATCGTGTCAAAGAGGACGTTGTGGCGATAAAACCGATATTGGCGGGTATCAACATAGAAAGAGTGAGTTGTCAGGTATATTTGACGCGTGTCATAGTGTTTTAGCCATTAAAATCGAACACGGCGTCCTCCCCGCGGGAGAGTGGACAAATTGCCGGACGATTTGCAATTTGCCATTAATAGGGCGTCTCGTTCAGCCATCTATCTTTATTCGTTAATAACGCGCTTCTTTACGGGCCGTAACGTACCGTTAAGGTGGCGAGGCATGCTGACCTATCGAAAGGTCAGATTTTAGACTATTAGGGGACTAAGCTGTCCCTTCCGAGCAATAATTCCGAACAATTAACCCCATCTGACCTTTTCCCTTGTAAAAATGTCGATGTGAGCCCCGAAAAGTGCGTTATAAATACGGACGCTGGTCACGCCCCCAACATTCCTAAACGCTTTTCGGCCAGATGCGTGCTAAATTTGAGGTTTATATTCCGTGGATAACGTGCCCGATAGGCGGTCACCGGACGTCACCGTTCTATACCGGACCTTGAATGATGGATCGGCGCACAATCAACGACCGTGTTCTTTCCCCGGCCTGGAGACAAATTTGCTAAATCCCCGAGTTGCGTTCGCATGTTAGGAGGCGAAATGTGTTGGGATCGTAATAAATTCCGACTAATAGCTTCCAGTACAATAGGGTAGTACTTGTCGAGCAGTCTCTGCTACGCCTTTTCTATGTTCCCGATGGCTTCGACCAGAATCCAGCCAACTCTCTACTTGCTTACGATTTACTTTCTTTACATTAAAACCAATCAAAAAATTTTATTACATATCTATTCTAATATCCGTTACCTAACTATATAATATATATACATATTTGTATATATTAATCATAACATCTCAATGTATACTCCAGTTTCCGGTTGATATGATATTAATAGGCGCTTTAATGTCTTTAACAGTTATCATTGTAGCGCCTCGGCCGCAAGCGACCTTGACAACTCTTTCAATCGCTCCGTATCTTCTATTGTAGCTGCGAATCTTATATTCTCTATTCTGAATTTAGCTGAGGTTGCTTATACTGCTCGTGGATACCACTTATTTTGTATTTTGAAGAACATTCAACATATCGTGTGTATAAAAGTAGCTGTGAATGTGCCTCCTATGTAAATACATTGTGCTATGAATGCTTAGAAGGGGAAATTAAAGAATTTTTTTAGTTTAAGAGAAAAAGTCAATATAATCGAAGAAGGTAAAAGAGGAATGTTCGTTACCTAAAAAATACGGAGTTTCAAAATCAACAATTGCTCACACGCTAAAACCATCAAAAAAGTGCACCTTGAAAAAGTCAGCATTTTCACTTTTAGAAGAGAAATTGTACAATTGGTTTTTCACAGAAAGAGAAAAGAATTCACGAATTTCGAGAAATATGCTGCAACTAAAGGCAACAGAAAACAACACAAAAATCAATTCAAAACGTATCTAATCCATCACAATTACATGATGTATACAGTACAGGACAGTATGTTAGAAGAGCTGAAAGTAATATGCAATCTGATCCAAAGGTGTTTTGGGGTTTTACTAAGTCTAAGAAGCGTGCGGATGTCATTCCTTCTACGATGTCATGGAATGGAACTGTTGTCGGCGATGGTGTCGGAGTATGCTCATTGTTTGCTGATTTCTTTTCTTCGGTTTTTGTGGATCCTGCTCCAATCCAGCAGAATGTAGATTGTATAGAAATGGATACCCTTCCTTTGAGTCAGATGCAGTTTGACAGAATTGAGGTTGAGGAGGCCCTGATGGGCATCAGGGTTACAGCAGTATAGGTACTGATGGTATTCCATCAATTTTAATCAAGGAATGTTCACACTCTCTGTCCCTTCCTTTAACTATTTTATTTAATGTTTCATTGATAATGGGTGTCTTTCCTTTATTGTGGAAGCGGGCTTTTGTTCTTCCCATTTTTAAATCTGGGGACCGTGGTGCTATATCCGATTACCGCCCCATATCTATTTTGCCAGCATTTGGGAAAGTGTTTGAGAAAGTAGTTCATGCACGTCTATTCTTTGCCCTTAAGTCTAAAATCAATTCTAGACAACATGGTTTTTTTTGCTGGTCGCTCGGTGGAGAGTAACTTGCTTGAATATACCCAGTATATCTTATCTACTCTGGATGATTCTTCTCAGGTTGATTCGGTTTATACGGATTTTAGTAAAGCTTTCGACCGGGTGGATCACAACTTACTTCTGTTCAAACTAAAGAAGTTTGGTGTTCAGGGAAATCTTTTGTAATGGCTTGCTTCCTATCTGAAGGAGAGATGCCAAATTGTTTCGGTTAATGTTTTTTTCTCTAATCCTGTGTCGGTTCCTTCTGGTATTCCACAGGGTAGCCATCTAATTTAATATTTATGTTAACGACATATTTGACGTCGTTAATTATGCCCAATGTTTAATGTATGCTGACGATTTAAAACTCTTTCTCCGTATCTCCTCACCTCTTGATTGTTCTAAACTGCAATCTGACTTAAACAATCTACATGCTTTTTGCTTAAATAATCGCCTTTCATTAAACTTATCAAAGTGTAATGTTATTTCCTTCTCTAACACAATCCACTACAATTATGGCGTCGCTGGTGAGAGGTTGCAACGTGTCTCATTTATTAGAGATTTGGGTGTTACATTTGATTATAAATTATTATTTGATAAACATATCGATACTGTTGTCTCCAAAGCCTGGCGTATGTTAGGATTTATTATGAGATCAACGGTAGCTTTTTCAAACATTGCTGCAATTAGAAATCTCTATTTTGCTTATGTTTACAGCACACTTAACTTCTGCAGCGTCGTTTGGAATCCTCAGTATCCCTCGTATAAATTTAGAATTGAGCGTATTCAATCTAAATTCCTCAAATACCTTTGTTTTAAATTTTCCATTCAATACATTGATTACGAATCAACTTGCACTTCTTTTCGTATGTTAACCCTCAACCAGCGTCGCTTTTGTGGGGATATATTATATTTTTACAAACTTTTGAACAACAAGTGTGATTCTCCAATGCTTGTTGGTTCTATATGTGTTCACGTTCCTCCGAGATTACTTCGCTTTGATTTTCTATTTATGACACCTACTCCTAGAACCAATGCCTGTCAAAACTCTCCTTTATTGAGAATGGCAAGATCGGCAAATCGTGTTAACATAGATCTGTTTCAGCATTCTTTCTATGCATTTAAAAAACTGCTCTTTGCTGCAGTTGGTGTGTTGCCTCGAGCGTTCATTTGATATATGATATATTTATATCACCTAAACTTAGTTTTAGTTTTTTTCCTTTTGAATCACTTTTGTACCATTAATGTTAATTCATTATTATTATTATTGTGAACTGTAATTCTATTTTATTTGTATACAATTGGTTGTTTGTGGTACAGTATTATTGGGTTCGACCTGTTTCTGTACCCACATGAAATAAATAAATAAATAAATAAAAACAATTGAATATTGATACTTTCGTGGTCAGAGATGGTTGGCTGTAAAGATTGAAACACCGTCGTGGTTTAAGGTTTTTAAAAATCGCAGGGGAGAAATTATCGGCCAACCCAGATGCAGAGGATCTAAAACGTATGATTTAAGAACATGACCTAAAGCATTAGCAGAAAAAACTACTCTGGATTAAAATTTTCGAAGGATTACATAAGTTGAAGGTGATAATGAAATCAAAAAATCCAAGGTGTTTTAGGAATTAAACTAAATCTAAAACTAACACTAGACCTAGAACTAGAAACTTTCGAGTTAAGCCGTGCGTCTTTTGAAAAAATGTTTGACGATTCGGATGCCATGTTGCAACCTTCTTCAGAAACAAGATCGAAGTCACTTCTAGTGATAGTGCAAAACTAGAACTAACACTAGACCGAGAACTAGAAACATTCGGGTTTAGCCGCACGTCTTTCAAGACGGCTAAACCCGAATGATTCTAGTTCTAGGTCTTGTGTTAGTTCTAGTGATACTGCTAGTGTAAAACTAGAACTAACACTAGACCTAGAACTAGAAACATTCGGGTTTAGCCGCACGTCTTTCAAGACGGCTAAGCCCGAATGATTCTAGTTCTAGGTCTAGTGTTAGTTCTAGTTTTAGTTTAATTAATACCGGCTGTGAAAGCCTTCGTACTTATATGTATTTTAGGAATTTTAACAACTCATTGCTGTACAAAAGCACTAAGAATGCGGGGATGACCAGGGAACTCTTTAAGGAATGATTTTTTCAACATTTTGTACCTGCAATAAAAGTTAAAATTATCTGCCGTTTATTTCATAAGGCTGATTATATTTCACAATTCGTAGGTGAGATGTTTTCTGCGCACTCAGGAGCACCAGCAACAGAACTGAGGACTCAAGATGGGATGCTTTTTGTAAATTCTTACCTAATGTTACGACTTTAATACAACCCATGGACCAAAATATTTTAAGGCTCACCAAACTGTAGTATAGAAACAGTTTGCTCAATTCTGTTGTATCAACGGAAGAAGGAATAGCTGCAGCACTCAGTAAGATTTCACTAAAATAACATTCCGCTAAGTATATTAAGGGAAAAATTAAGATGTGAAAAAACTTTGATGTCCTTGAAGCTGTTAGAGATACAATAAATTTACTACAGGAAGTAGCTCCAGTAAGTTAATGCATAAGTAGTTATAGAAATCGATAGCAAAATCATAAATTGCACATTTTAGGGTGACTAGTTGCAGATGTGGAACATTTTGACAAAGATGAGGCAGCAGATATTGTGGAAATGTCTTCTTCAGATCAGTCTCTAACACTCTCTATCTTTAACAGTTATCATTGTAGCGCCTCGGCTTTGCAACTAATATTCTGAATTTAATTATTCTGCTAAATTCTGAATTTAGCCGAGGTTGCTTGAACCTGAATTTTGATTTCAGATTTCATTAATTTGGATTGGAATCACCATGTAGTTCAAATCATGTACAGTTAGCAATGTTATACTCTGATGACTTTTATGACGTAGGTATAGATATTGTTAAAAAACAATTTAATTTTAATTAGATAATTGTTAACGTTTAGACATTAATGTGTATTTATGGTATTTGAATCGAATTCTATAATCGTTATAAATATGATATAAGATTAAATCGAAATCATAATGGTAAAGTTGTTATGTGATAAATTAATTCATTTCGGTGCCGGTAGGGGATTAACGACGAGTCATTACGCGAAAGAAAACGAAGAAAAAGAACGCAATCTTTGGTATATCGGTTAAACCGGCGGGTAAAGTAGAGGACCTCCGCGCGTTAGAATTATTTTTAGGTCCCCCTCGATGGGACCTTAATGAACAATTATGTAATTTCGCCGCTGCATTTATCGTTTGTCGTACAGCTGCCGTTTTTCAACAATTAAACTTTGCTACACCACTAATTACGGGCTAAATTGTAAGTAACACTTGTCTTTAATCGTGTTTCGTGTAGCCCACGCCGTTTTTGGAGATCCACTTCTTATACGTTCACCTGGTCAAGATGCTTTATCTATCTCCTGCAGGATCGTGTCTAAAATAATGGCTGATTGATTCACGCTCGGTTTTTTCGCTATTCCAACGGTAGAGTGCGGATAAATCACAATGAAATAGTGCGCTCCTGCCGGTGGGGTGCATAACAAAGTAGGCCAGACTTTTTTCACCATCTGATTTTTCGAAGATTTGTCGGTGACATTAACATCCACGAGTTAAACTATTTCTTTTTTAAACCACTCGAATTCGCCGAAGAAAAATACTTTTTAATTCCATTTTTTTTTACTAAAATAGTAGTTAAACGTTTTCAAGTTTGAATTTGAAAGCTGGTAAGTCGGGTAAGCTTTGGGTTCTTATCAGGGTGCATAGTGTCACTGTCAACGCGATAGATTATTCACCCTTCCAGTCCGCACTTGCCGCCGGCTACATCCCTAAAAATTAAAAGCCACAGATTTGCTGTGTGCTGTTACAACAAAACTCACCCCACGCCACGAGATCTCACCCTACTTTTATGTGATAAACCACAGCGGGACCGTAAGAGGACTAAATCTAAAAATCGATATTCATTATAACTTGTTTGGAGCCTTCCAAATCTTATTTTTGAACCCTTTCAAGAAAATATTCAATTTGTGTTAAGATTGGGTTTTTTCTTTGTTGTTTTGAGGTGTTTTGAGGTGTTATGAGATTTTAGAGCGTCGTTGTCGGTAGGGAGGCACGAAAAAGGACGACGAAATACTGAAAGAATGGCTATAATTAAACGGTCCGTATTTATAGAGGGGATTCAATCAAGAACTAATCACTCTGTTGGAATTTTTCGATCATCTATACTTAGCCTAAGGAATCAGCGCAATTCTCGACTGCCGAAAGGTCAACGAGGTTAAGTCGCTCTAACTTGAGTACGATTTCGTTCGTGGCCAGGTGAACGTGCGCACTAAGAAGAAAATTGTATACTCTTCTTTAGTTCTTTTGAATTTATAAAATCGTTTATACACTTCAATTTTCGACGATTAATCCTTTATTTTACGTTTGGGAATCATCGACGATATTAAATAATAAATAATTTTTGGCAAACGCCAGCGACAGAGATTACCATCAGCAAATACTGCTGACACGGATGTTCCCAATAACGCGATGATATTCGGCGTTCGTTAATTCGTGCATAAAATCCGATTGCATCGGAAACGGATCCCCGAATACTTATACACGTCCAACCCCCCCTAATTTTCGAGGGACCCCCAAAAGTGGATAATTACTGGTGGTAATCTGTGGTTTTCACGATATTCGCGAATATTGAAATATGAATTCTCGGCCAGAAAAAGTAACCCCACGTCCGAGGGGTGGCCACCCCAAAAAAGACGGTGGACTTTCCTTATCCCTTGTTAGTCACGATGTGACATATTGTAGTCAAATTATGATTAGCCCTAACCCCCAAAAAATCCACCCTGAAGGGAATATTAATATAAAAATCTGCATATATACTATTCTCGAATAATCCGATAGTTTTGATTTTATTACTTTTCTTTGTCCAAAAAACCATTAATCCAAAATTGTTTGTGTTTGGTAACAATTGTAGCGTTATATTTATTTATTTTTTTTTTTTTGAAAATATCGCGGAACGAACGCGGTCAGATACCATTCACATGGAAATGTCAGCGGAGGCGTTCTGAAAGAGATTGGACAAACAGATGAGCTGGCCGAACGCGCCAAGGGTTGGTCAGCGGGCGATAGAACAGCGCGGCGTGTATAATTTAAATTGAAAACTTATCAGTCGTCCTGACCTTCCGCGGCGGGAGAACGGGGATACCGGGGGGATCCCCGGTCCGTATCTGCGGGACCGCTTCCGGCCCACCCTCGCTGTTTGTCACCGCATTTTTTTAAGTCTTTTTCTTCGACATCGAACGTTTAAAACCGTATCGTCCAGTTTTGGTCGTTTACATTTGCACGTCGCGGGGCGCTAACGAACCGTTTATTCAACCGTGTGATGTCGTTAGCCGTTAACTAATCCTCTCCGTTATATATTCCACCTCTCATTAGCGGACAGGGGGCATTCTGTTCGTCAGTGTATAAACATAACTGTTACACCACCCAATGTATACTAAAAAAAATTCATATACATATATTATATTTATAACCAAAAAAATTTTAAATTTGATGTTGTGGAATGGCGAAGAAGTCTAAGAAGAAGAATAAGAAGAAGCGGCTTTGGGAGCCCGTAGCGGGACAGTTTATGATCAGTAATTTTGTACCTTGTAAATCTGGCTTCCCTCGTGTGTGAACCCGTGAGCAGGTTAGGTTACAAAAGGTCGTGACTTGCTTGGTCACGGAGACCACTCCGCTACGCTGCGAGACCCAAGACACGGTGCCCAAGTGCTTCTATCGGTACCACTGCTACGTAGCACTTTATTCGGTACAATACCTAGCAGAAAGAGCATCGCGCGACGACCCGGTACACTCTACGTGTACAGTCGGAGCGGCCAGAAAATCAGAAAATACTCGCCCATCTGGGCCTAATTATTTCTTTCGCGCCGGCAGTCGCGAGGTGGTAGGTTATAGTTCGAGCAGGTGTCGCTACCGTTGCCGTTCTTTTTTCGCGACCGTTCGACCATAACAATCTATTGTATTTAAAAACGGTCGCTACAATAACTTTGCATGATTTATAACTGTTGTTGATGTTGTTTTTTTCGCTTGTTTACTGTCTGTTTTATTCAATTTCAAACAAAAGCCACGACGTCCGGACAGGAAATGCACTTTAAGGGTTCCAAATAATGATTTTCAAATCACCACTCACGACATTTAAAAACATATTTCCACTATTATTACAGCCTTTATTTTACAAGTCCTATTTGATAATTTTGAACTAGAGTCACCAAGAAAAGACAAAAGAGAAAAGCGACGTTTTTAACCCTAATGGAATGGGGGCGCGCTTACCTGTCGTGAATAGGACGATGGCTTTCAGACAGGAATACTCCGCGGAGTCCACGTGCAGCGCCTTCAGTTTCTCCACTTGTTCCTATAACAATACAAAACGACTCAGTTTGCGATACTTCACCGTTTTATCTTCCAACGGGAAATTACCTGGAATATTCTGATGTGGTCCATAAATTGCACCACGCGATCTGCACACATTGGCGATGCGTGAAGTCCGGCAGCTGCTATCAGTGGTGCTACATGCAACGGCATCGAACATTGGCTAGCATTTAGGACGAATAATTCTGACCATACTAATCTTAATAACGCCACCTGAAAATACATTACATTAAATAAACACTTAATAAAATCATCAATTTGCTTCTTACTTGATCTGTAACTTGTAGATCTGGAAAGAAAGGTATATTCCTAGCCCATTCGACGGCCGAAAATAGTAGTCTAGCTGCAAGTTCGCAAATATTGTCGATGCCCATGATATTGTTGGCCTGTATACATTGTCCATACCGACTTGTAGGATATGGTTCGGCCCGTAGCAGCAGGGAGATGTAACTGCTGAGGTAGCTGTGGTTGCTGAGGGACGTCGTGACCGGGTCTGAGGTGTTCAGGAATTGATTGGGGATGCCCGGGAGGGCGGGCTGCGACGGCGGTACTCTTCCCCGCTGGACGGCTAAAAAAGAAACGCGCGGCGTCGGAAAAATTCATGATCTTCGCGAAGAACGGCCGCGCCATCCATCACCAACGGCCGAGACCATTTGTATCGGTTTTGACGTGTGAATTAACGCTGATTACTGGGATTGATGACCCCTTCCGGCGCTCGTTATGGGGCTTCTACGGCCGTTGGGCCCCCGCAATGTCCAGACTATACTCAAAGAACTACTTTTTTGTTTCATCTAACACAACTATTTTAAAAAGTATCTTGAAAATTGGGTTTGGTTTATGGTATAATTAAAAACCACCGTTGATAAACAACACGAAATAAAAAAAGTTTTATTAGAAATTATTTTCAATTAGGTTGGGTTGGGTTCTAGAAAATTAAATGTAATTGTATCAATTATACGTTGAGGTTTCATTTATTGATATTGATTTGATGGTTTCTAAAAAAATTCGATATATTAATTACAAAATATGCTAAAAAAACTATAAGAATAATAAATTGAATGTTCGTGGTAGTCGTAAAGGTGACATTAAAAGTGGTATAGAGAAGACGTACACGTGCCAAAACGAGGCGAGAAGCCGCGGGCCGGTAAAATATTTGGTACACCGCGACGAGCAGAGCTTTAATGCACGAATCTCGGATTAAATTGTATAGAGTACGGTTGCTATGTACAGGAATCGTGGGAAACTGACCTCAGGTGACCCTGACCTCGAAGCAACCGACCACGGCGTATATATGAGAGATCTGTGGCCACACAGTCAAATGCCACGAAGAATGAAGTCATCCGGTGCTATTTTCGTGAAGCGGCCACCGCGCGTCTTTCGGTGGTGTGGCGACGGCGACGGCGACGCTGCCCAACAGCAAGCAATCGAAGAACCCCTCAACATCTCCAATAATTATAAGACGACAAACATGTTGTTCCCGGAGCGGCGCTTATCGTACGTCTTGCGAAACGCAAACGGCCGATAATGAAATGGTGAAAAAACAATTTTGATAAGATGCGCGTTCGTCGCCGACAATTTGCGATCGTTTTTTCGCAAAATTCCCAAATGGTCTACGCGTTCCCACGGGAGACCCTCCCCGACGCTTCATTTGAATAAATCCCTTAAAGCTGTCCATGGGTATTTTGCATATTCACCGGACACTGGTCAGCGTAACACGTATCTCGCACCCCTCACCAAGGTGTCATGCTCGACCTTTTCTTTGCCTGGGGGCTGTTTTATATATCCGTTATTCCGCAGGGGACGTTCGTCGTTCATTGTTCGGTGTCTCGTCGCGGTCCCAACTAGGTTAAATAGCGTCGTATACTATTACAAATATAAATGTTACTACAACGGGCCGAAAGGTTATCAATCCAAACGCGTCATAACCAAATGATATAATATGGGTTTCAGTTATTTATTGCGTCGTCTTTGCTACTATGACTTTCGATAAATCGCTTTCTAGAAACTACCAACCAACTTAGAAGAAAATATTTTGTATGTTATTCATCATTTCTTTAGTTTTTAAGTATTTTTTATTATAATTAAATTTGAAAAAAAAAATTTTGAATAAAAAATTTGGCTAAAAATATTTTTAGTACATCAATTAATAAGATCATCATGAAATTATCAGCATGTTTTTAAAATGTCTGATAAGTATTATTTTTGAAACAAAATTCCTTATTCATTATAATAAATGAAATATATTTCAAATTATATCTACATTTTCTATTTATATAGCTTGTTTAAAGATACTCTGTAAGGCATCTACATAGTAAGTTTATTAACTCGAGATTTTCTACAGAATACACAGATCGTTTGCAGAGTATTTAGAGTTCACTAGAGTATATACAACATTTAGAGAGTATGCCTGATAGACTGATGTAGAATATCTGTAGAGCATACAGACTGTGTCTACAGCCTATCTGTATGCAGATAGTAAACATTATTTGCATAAAGATAGTGTGTCCAAGTCTATTTTGAGCCAATCTGCAGATGCTCCGCAGAATTTTCAGAACTATTTTATTAGCACGGATCTAAAAAAATAAGAGTATGTGCAAAAACATTGTAAATAAAGCTATCTAGATATCATCTATAAATACTCTACAAGTTAATAAGTATATTTAAACGTTATGCACAACATTTCACGAACATACAAATCATCTAGATATTATCTGCTTACAAATAGGGGAGTAGTAGAAATTATCTGATAAGGCACTATTTTGACGTTATCTCCAGGTAGTCCCTAGAATACTTAGAACATCTCCAAATTATGTAGATCGTTTACAGAGTATTTAGAGAGTATGTGCATAGAGTTACTTTGCGTGAGACTGATCTAGGACTACCTGCAGCGAATTTGTATGCAGATGGTAAACATTATTTGCATAAAAATAGTGTGTCCAAGTCGATTTTGAACTAATCTGCAAATGGTCGACAGAATATGCACAATCTATATATTATAGAACAGTATTAAGAATATAGTAGAGACAGTCTATATAAAGAGACTCTACCCATATCTATTTTGAACCAATCTGCAGATTCTTCGTAAAATATTCAGAACATGTAGACTGCCATAAAAAAATAAGAGTATGTGTATCATCTATAAATACTATGCAAGTTAATAAGTATATTTAAACGTTATGCACAAAGTTTCAAGAACATACAGATTACCTAGATATTATCTGCTTACAAATAGGGGGGTAGTAGAAATTATCTGATACGGAACTATTTTGAAATTATCTCCAGGTAGTCCGTATTATACTTACAATATCTCCAAATTATGTAGATCGTTTGCAGAGTATTTAGAGAGTACGTGCATAGAGTTACTTTGCCTGAGACTGATCTAGGACTGTCTACAGCGTATTTGTATGCAGATCGTAAACATTATTAGCATAAAAATAGTGTGTCCAAGTCGATTTTGAACTAATCTGCAAATGTTTACGTTTGTTTGATTCCTTTTTATCACCGTGTGTTTAATAAAAGTGGAGAGAATTAACAGACACTAAGAACAACGTGGATTTACATAAAAATTTAATTTTTAGTGATTTGAACGTTAAACAAATACATTTAACTTAAAAAAGAATCGAGAAACCAAATGTTATGTTTAAGAATAGAAAAGAAATCATATAACGTGGTTTCCTGAGGATGGCGTCAAGCCGAAACCAGTAAAAACCAAAAAATAATAATAAAGATAACATCGTTAAAGTACGACATTTATTTCTCTTCACTTTTATTAATTTGCAAATGGTCGATAGAATATGCAGAGCCTAGATAGATCTGCCCAGATCTATTTTGAACCAATCTACAGATTCTCCACAAAATATCCAAAACATGCAGACTGTCTAGGTGTTATTTTATTGGCACGAATCTATTTTTAAACTGTGCAGATATTTAACAGAATACACAATACATCTTCGGAGCATACAAACTGTCTTGGGACTATATGTATGCAAAGAAGAGTATAAGAGTATTTTTTGAGCCAATTTATATAAAAAATAAGAATATGTGCAAAAACATTGAAAATAAAGCTATCTAGATATCATCTATAGGTACTCTGCAAGTTAATAAGTATATTTAAACGTTATGCAGAACATTTCACGAACGTACAAATTATCTAGATATTATCTGCTTATAAATAGGGGTGTAGTAGAAATTATCTGATACGGAACTATTTTGAGATTATCTCCAGGTAGTCCGTAGAATACTTAGAACATCTCCAAATTATGTAGATCGTTTGCAGAGTATTTAGAGAGTATGTGCATAGAGTTACTTTACCTGAGACTGATCTAGGACTACCTACAGCGTATTTGTATGCAGACCGTAAACATTATTTGCATAAAAATAGTGTGTCGAAGTCGATTTTGAACTAATCTGCAAATGATCGACAGAATATGCACGATATATATATATATATAGTATGGAGATAGAACAGTATTAAGAATGTAGTACAGACAGTCTACATAAAGATACTCTGCCCAGATCTATTTTGAACCAATCTGCAGATTCTTCGCAAAATATCCAGAACATATAGACTGTCTAAGGTGCTATTTTATTGGCACGGATATTGGTACTATCTGTATGCACAGAGTATTTTTTGGGCCAATTTATGTAAAAAAATAAGAATATGTACAAAAACATTGTAAATAAAGCTATCTAGATATCATCAAGTATATTTAAACGTTATGCACAACATTTCACGAACATACAAATTATCTAGATATTATCTGCTTACAAATAGGGGTGTAGTATCTTGAGACTATCTCCAAGTAGTCCGTAGAATACATAGATCATCACCACATTATGTAGAATGTTTGCAGAAAGATATGTGTTAATATGGATTTTAATTATTTAAATTTAACCAAACCCAATTTACTATTTTTTGGTTAAACTGATATAATTTAAAGAATATAATGAAGATGTTTGAGGATATTAAAAGATAATATTTTTTGTTTTCAATTTCTCACGGTTTGAAAAAGTTTATCTACGTAGGTAAAGTAAAAGTCGAGGTCCGAAGCACCCATGAAAATATTCTTATACACACACGGAGGGTAACAGTATGGACATTCTATTGTGGGCCATTCTTCGCATGATTGATCGGTTTAATATACAAATACTTGACCGTAGGGGCACAAAGGGCCGTCCCGAAACCTAAAGGCGAGCTTACCGCGTGCATACATTAACAACCGCCTTAAGATTAATGGCCACGCCGGTCAGCGGCGCGGGAATGCGTTAGAAATATATTATTTCTTGTCGAACGCAAGCCGGGCTCAATTTTCGTTTATTTTTTTTATCCGGCCCCGCTCGCGACCAAAACACGTTAATGCCTTTTACCTTCTCTCCTCATGCCCATTTTCATACATTTACGTAACCGACAGTACTGACACTGGTTTCTATGATGTTGATCTATTGGACAATTTCGGCTACCTCTACAGGAATATGTTAAGTTCCTTCTCACACTTCTTTTAAAAAATGATTTGCAACCTGAAACCAAGAAAAAACTTTTTTTTCTCCCGGACGTCTTGGCAATGAAATTTTTTTATCAAAAATTTGTTATTTGTAAATTGGGTATTTTATCGCGAGTAAGTGCTGTTTATCTTGCGCGAAGAGAAACCGCGACTGTCGTTAGCGGTAGAAGCTGCGGGGTTGTGATGGGTCTTGGGGGAATACCGGAGAAAAATGGTGGTTTATAAAAACATTTCGGGCAATAAAACTATAAAAATCTGAGCGCAATTCAGTCGTCTATCATTTCCGACTATATTTATCAAAATGACGGGTCAGAGGGAAAAAGGTTCCCGTCCCCTTTATTCTTTATCCATATAGGAAGTAATATGAAGTAAAAGCTACGACCCAGACGATTTGTGTCCTTGTAAGATGGATTAATCAATTTTAAAAAAAGAAATAAATAATTTTCAACATGTTTACAACAATTAGTATAAAGATTGCAACAATCTTTCCATGACGTTCGATTAGAAAGAGAAATTGACTCATTATTTTTTTTCTGTTAAGATATGAACAAAGCTATTACTTTCACTGTCCTTCAACAAACCCATTTCGATTGTTCATTTCGCATTTGTTCATTTTGAAACTAACTTATCATATTTCGCTGGTTTAATCTATATAATAAGATATTAGGGTGATCTCGTATGGGGGGTCGAATCTGCTTATACAATGTTAGGGTTGAATTGGGACGGAGGTTGTCAGATTCTTTGTTTCATCACCCTTTTGTTATTCATAAGGACATGTTAAGGTGGAAAAGATAGGGTTGTTGAATTAGTTTAATTTCATTTATTTAGGAAAAAAATTTATTTTTAAGAAGCAAAACTTTTCGCTTTGTTATTCATGGATGTGAGACGATAGAAGATTAAAGATGGATTACGAAATTTAACGATGTATTTAGTCTGTTTTAAACGTTGTATGGAAAGAAAAGGAAAGATTTAAAAGAAAATAAGGATGGTATTTGATACTTTTTTTCGGTTCTATTTCTAATTTTGGGGTTTCGTATCTGCGATCTTGTAGTAGCATAGTGACGTATTTTAAAGGGGGATTGAGAAAAAGATCAATTTGAAGATTGTGTTGCATTTTTTTTGGTTTTTGGGTTTTGATGTCAATTTTCATATCGTTCGTGTCATCAATATGGTGACATATTTAGTGTTTCGAAAATGGATTTTTGATGTTTTGACATCATTTTTTTATCATTTCGGGATTTTGACAGATTTTGAAATGTTCGATTTTCTTATTTTTGATTCTTTAACTGTTTAGAAATATGATATTTTTGTAGTTGTTTTGGTTGTTTTTAGTTATTTTTGAATTTTGGGTTGTCTCATTGGGGTTTTATGGGTTGATGTTAGTGACGTTTTTTATAGTATTGAAATATGACGTTTGTGGTGATTTGAACGTACGTGTAAGGATGTTTCGATTAAAGCGGTTGTGACTCTTACCTTCACAAGTAAACTGACCATAGTGTTTTCCAGAACTTTTATCACCACAAACCACGCACTCAATATTTTGGTTCTTGTCGGCATTGTTACTGTTCGCACTGTTCTGAGAGTTCTGCGACGGAGTTTGCCGGTTGGCGATGCTGAGCGACAACTCTGGATTGTCAAGAGTGATCGGGTTGATGTTGGTAGGCAAAGGGTTGAGATTCGGCGGCGTTGGCAAGGGATTGAGAGCGTTGGGCAACGTGTTGAGACTGGTCGGGATCGGATTGACGAGCGACGGCTCTCTCCAAGACGGTGCCACCAATGCCATGTTGGCGGCGATATTTCGCCAAAAAATTTTTTTACAAAATTCCTAACTCAGTTCGGTCGTCATTTTGGCGACTCGGCACATTTGGCACTGGGGCGAAACGGGGATTTTTTTCGAAACGGAAAAAACTTTTTCGAGTCAGATACTTCGGAGCACGTATCAGAGCATGGAAGGTGATAGGTCATACCCTCACAACTTTCTCGCCTCTACTGGTGACCTTTTGCGAGAGGCCCCGACACTAACTTGGCCTGGGCGTAACAGGGAGGTCCTAAGTTCATACGAGGGTCAGGATAGGCCAAGAGGCGGGATTGGAAACCGTGGAGGGGATCCTTTCCACGTCTGCTATCATGTGCACTAAATTCGAATGCGAACCCGCAACTTTATCCAAAATTCGGTCACAGATTCCGAGACCTTCTCGCGGTCGTCTCGCGAACCCATCTTCGCACCAACACTCTACCATCGCTTCGCGCTTCTTCGCGACTCAATCTAACATCCCACTACAAAAATAAAAAAATCAAACACTACGATCTCTCAATCTCACTCCAAAGAAATTTAAAATAGCCCCTGTATATCTATACATATAACTCGACTATCTCTTAAGTGCATAGTGACAATATCTATAAAGATAACTTTCATCTTATTTAAAAAATATAAAGACCTTATATTAGTGCTTATCGACTTTTAATCTAATTAAAATTATTTATAGAATCACACGTCTTGACGTTTATATATATATATATATATATAATTAATAATGTCTTGGGATTCACATACAATGATTATATTTTGCAGTGTGTAGTGATAATTATAAACACTTCATCGTTTCGTGATTTATGACATGATGAAATATTTTTTGACGTTTCAAGTGTATTTAGAAGAAGGCTGATCACCCTATATATATAATTGGCTCGATTATCTCTTAAGGAAGTGATAATTATCAACAGTTCATCGTCCCGTGACCTAAATCAATATCTCAATAAAAAAATCTCAGATGCAATTTCTTTGATATTTCAATCTTTTTCAGAATAAAAGCCAACATCCTGTCTATCTACTTTAATTATCTTTTAAATTTATAGTTATTATGGGTATTATGTATTCCTCTATATAATATGTCTCATATTTTTATTATTTATTATTAATACCTAATTATATGTCATTCTTCGATTTAGTTATGATTTGATGAAGTTTCATAAACCAATTGTGGTACTTTTTGCTTGAAATTGGTTTCAACGAAGTTTTTTTGAGTTCTTATTAAAACGGTTGTTATAAATTAAGGTTATCCAACTTCATGGATGTACAGGATTTTGTGCATCCATGATTAATCAAATTTATGTTCCAATGAAGTTTTCAAATTATTTCTTAATATTAAATATAAACCTTTTTATTCCAATTTTGATGAAGTTTCATGAAACGAATTATTAAGTTTCTTGGATTTGGTTAGGTTTCACTGAAGTTTTGTTTACAATTGAATATTAGTTGAAGTTGTAATAATAATTAATAATTCGATGATATTCTTTGCATATTAGTAAATTTCAGTGAAGTTTTTTGGGTTAATATTGAATATCCAGACGAAATTTGAAATGTTGGTGATGTTTCTTCAATTTGGATAGGTTTCCAGTTAAATTTCTTCTTAGAAATTCTGGTTATAATGAAGTTTCATGAAACAAAAAGAAATTATTGATTAAAACTTGATAATTCGTTGAAGTTTCTTGGTCTTGATAAGGTTCCAATGAAGTTGTAATGGTAGATTTCCAATTTTTATCTAAAAATTAATGTTCAGATGAAGTTCTTAAATAATTTATTTATTATTATTTGGGATTAAATTTAATTTTATTATTAACTGAAGTTTAAGTTGAATTTTTAGCATAATAATTAATATTTCGGTAATGTTCCTCAGATTTCAATGAAGTTTTTTGAGTTTATATTAACCATCGTGATCAAACTTAATATTGTAATAACATTTTATAGATTAAATGAAGTTCTCATATTTTATTCCTAAAGATTCGATTATAATTTGAGATTTTGATGAAGTTTCTTCAATTTCATTAGATTTCGATGAAGTTCTTCGAGTTATTATTATCTTCGTGTTAGAAATTCAGATTATAATGAAGTTTCATGAAACGCGCATCGTTCAATTGAAGCTTTTTGGTGCATTTAAAATTTTCTTTTATTTTATTCCTAAAAATTCGATTATTATTTTAAGTTTTGATGAAGTTTCTCCAATTTCATCAGATTTCGAAGTTCTTTGAGTTATTATTAATCTTCTTGTTAGAAATTCAAATTTCAATGAAGTTTCAATTTGTTTCTTTGATATTTTCTATTAAAAATTAATGTTTTGATTCAATTATTTATAAATACTTGGAATCAAATTTGAATTTTTGTTCCAATTTTATGTCATCATTAACATAAATAATTAATAAAAATTTAAATAATTTATAAAAAAACACCTTATAAATTTACCTTTCTTAATTTTTTTATATAATGTTTAGTTTTACTGCAATTTATAGTTGTATTTGCACGAATCGTAAGTAATATTTAACGAGAAAGTCGAAAATACAATTCCTTGAATTGATGTCAACAACTTGCTTTCGAATTATCAACTTTTAATCATTACTCAATGCAATAATTATTCGACTTTAATACATCCTATTATTGATTTCAACATTCTACATTTATTATTGTTTTTTAGCAAATTATTAAAAAAGAATTTAAATAAGTCTTGTAAATGAGGAAGAGTTGCGAAAATAGAAAGTTGAATTAAGTCTTTTTATGATTTTTTTTCTGTCGCAGTGATATTTGTTCATGCCACAAATTGTTGGTTAAATTAACTTTCATTTGAAATGGGGAATTTTGTTAAAAATGAATTGTAAATTATAATTTTCTTTTATATTTCCATAAGGGACACCTCCATAAAAAGATCAAGATAGAATTACTTTGTGGATATGATGCATAAGTTTAATCCCCTTATCTGGAAAGTATACATTACGAATATAAAATAGAAAAAGGGTAAGGTGATTCCGAACGTAAACGTAAACCCATAGAATTTAAACGTCTAACAGAAATCGGTTAGGAGACGTTGAAATTAATATTCAAAAATAGCCAGTGGCTAATGGTGCCCATTATAAATCGAAAAATCAGGTACTAAAAGTGGCCCCTAATATAAATAACCTGTACCTACAGTAGGAAGGTTACAAAGGGGACGTCAAAGGGCCAAAGGTGACTAGTTTGATTCCCACGGTTCGGAAATATGCATAACGCGACCGAGGCCATAGGAATTCAAATTCGGGTCGTTCAGCCCATGGAAAGCCGAGAAGATCTATGGGTGAGATATGTTAAAATTCCCCAAAAGCGTAAAACGGCTCCGGACACCGGCCGCTTCCGGTATCGAAAACTCGATTTGCATAAATTTTAATTTCGACCGAGTTGAGATTTCCAAAGGAGCGAGCGGTCCTCGCCGGATGAAAGGACGCCTGATTCCGTCCAGGATGAGCCATTGTCTCCTCCCGCGGATTTTGATGGAGTATTGGGACACAAAAGGACCTCCGCAGATAAGCTCGCCAGTGAAAGGCTCCTTCTTCCCGAAGAAAAGGTACGCCGAATGCTTAATTAAGTCGATATTAAACGGGGTTTTACGCGAAAAGTTCTCGCGCGATTCGCCTAATTCGCACCGCGACCAATGGGGCGCTGGTTACCATTAGAAACGGGGGCAGGTGACTAAATGCCGGCACGCTTTTGCCTCCGGTCCCGGCTTCACCTGTCAACCAACCCTTCAAGAAGGGTTGAACGGATGCTGGGACAACCCTCGCCGCGGGCCTCTCTTTTCTCCACGCGACACGTGATCTCTTAATCCTTTATTGTACCACCGTGTCTGGTCCTTTAGCAAGGTGCACTTTCGCACTGTATACCAACCCGCAAGATCATTATCCCAATAACCGGTAGTACATGATCTCTTAACTCCTTTTATAACTCCTTTATTTCTTAATAATAAATTAAATAAATTATTTTAGGGTAAATTGAATAGAATTTAATTTCGAATTCTTTACATGTTTCGGCTTAAATAAGCCATCATCAGAAGGTTTCTACAAATAAGTATCAAATTATAGATAATCAACTTTAAAGAATGAGGTTATGTATATTCCCTCATGACACTAAAATATTTATTTATTACTTACATCATCAGTGAATTTGGAGAAAAACTAACTAATCTAATTAATATGGTGTTTTTATCGTAATGTTCAAACATCAAAATTAATTTAATATTATATTAATAACAAACACCAAAGGAACGGTATCAAATTACAACTGGATAACTACAGGCGGTGATGTCCTTTTCTTAGGACAAGAATTTAGGTTATGAGCGCGCTATAAACCGGAAATCCGGAAACGTCCGAAAAGCCGCCTGTAGTTATCCAGTTGTAATTTGATACCCTTCGTTTGGTGTTTGTTATTAATGTAATATTAAATTAATTTTGATGTTTGAATAATATGATAAATACATCCTATTAATAGTTAGTTTTTCTCCAAATTCACTGACGATGTAAGTAATAAATAAATTTAGTGTCAAGAGGGAATATACATAACCTCATTCTTTAAAGTTGATTATAATTTGATACTTATTTGTAGAAACCTTCAGATGATGGCTTATTTAAGCCGAAACGAAAGAAATTTTTAATAATTTAAATATCTAATAATTTTAAATAAATTATTTTTTGTAGTATTTTGTGCACGGACAAGTATTTAAAAGTAAAAGGTAAAAGTAAAAGGTGTAAATAAAAGGTTAAAGGTAAAAAGTGAATAGTAAAAGTCAACCATTAATTTAATTAGATTTTTTTGATGTTTTTTTATTATAGTGTTAAGAAGTTGTATTGAATTAGATAATGTGTTAGATGAAGTTAGATAGAGTTTGACAGATCTTTGTGGTTGTGGAGTGGAGAGTAAAGAAGACGTAGTAAGAGAGAGTCGTTCGGATCGATTTCCGTAGTAACTTCTGGAGTTGTCTTGGGATTACGGTTCCTCTCGTCGCTTATTGCTCGTATCTAATCTTTTTCGTGTGAGCACGTGGGCCACTTAGTTCTTGTCAGTTTTATTGCCGGAGGAACAAAACCCAGAAGTCTCTCGACGGAATAGACGCGCGTCTTTAATTACTCCGACGGGCGAGTGTGTCGCCGCTTTATCTAGCGGAAAGGGCGAGAGCAAAAAGCGAGCAGATGCAAACCTCGAGGAGAGAAGCGAAGAGAAGAGCACTCCGCACGGACAATGGGAGTTATTAATTTAGATGGGTCGCGCAGTCATCATGGGTGGCTGTGCGTAATTATGGGCATGGCACAAGGTCACCTAATCCCGCGGGCCCTCAGGGACAACCTCTGATTGAATGCTAGCTACCCCTGTTAATATAGAGAAGCCCTCGATACGTCCTCTCAGAGTCGGTCCATATCGATCTTTCGCGGTCGCAATTTGTCGTCTATGACGGACGGAAACATAATGTAGCTTAAAAGAGCATGACGGTCGTAAATTTTTGCCTCCGTAGAATAACTTAGTTCGGGCGGCGGGTTCTCGTTTTGTCGTCCCGGACAATACCTAGAATTTTAAACGAGCCAGCGGAGGTAAGATAATGCGACAACGGGCCCGGGTTGCGGTATCTACCGCGGCGCGCAACTTGGGAAGATCTTATCGCGAAGGTAAGACATATTGCCGCTAGATACGGGCACAATACCGCGCTATCTGGCCTATGCACGTATGGACGTATAATTTTAGCGAGCCAACCTCAAAAGCACCAACTACACCGAAACCGCAAAACGCTTACCGAAACCTCCGAACGCAAATTCAAACGCGTACGGTTTTCACGCCGTTTATCGCACGAGCCTCTACAATAAAATGCAAATTTACCGAAAAAGGAATTAAAGGGCTCCCTCGAGTCGCCCTCCCGCGATAAGGCGTCCCCGGAGGTCTCCAAGTGATCTGTCATATATATTTCACGTCCGGCGACCGCCACCCCTCAATCAGTATATATCTTTGTCAAAAATGGACTTTTCGTAATCACATTGACGAGGTTCACAAACTTTTCCCACATCTGCCCACAATTTTATTTTTTTTACTAAAGTACAATAATATTTTTTTTAACGATGTAAAAGCTGTTGACAGGTCGATAAGTTTCAAAGTGGAATAATGAAGTTATGATCTAATAAACGAGTGCCGGACCGGTCGAGATAAAACGCAGAAAAGGGAGCAATGTCTCGTCCGTATCGAGATTAATGTTGCGTAATAGCACATGCGGGCTAACTTGATTATATTATCCCGACAATGGTCAGCGGGGCCGTCGGCGTATCACTGCCGCCCGTTAACAGGCGTCGGACGAATTAGAATCCCGCTTTACGCAAGTTCTGCCATGAATATTAACACTCCAACCCGGCAGAACCCTTTGCCCGTCACGCAATTTTCATCTCATTACCGGGACCATCACAATGAAAACGTATCATTCGTCCAACTTCGAAAAATCAACCGTACGCCACCGCAGGCGTTCGTTTAATTTCGAAATTGTCCGACCCGGGGCGCAGATGTTCGAATTGTCTCGTCGGAGAGTGCCTCATTGGTCATTGTGACATCGGCACACTCCACATTAACCATCATTTCGCCGCACTAATATTACTTAGCGTTTAATAACTCACTATGAATATTTTATTCACTATAAACCCCACTTTACTCCCCAAACTTTCACATTAAACCTTTCTTCAACAACCATATACTTTAACTAACACTACTTTAATACCTCATTTTCTTACATATTATTTATAAAAGTATT